AGCCTTCCGTGCTCTTCCTGTTCTCATCCTCAGAGAAGTTGAGTACGGATACCTGTCTATGACAGTTGAGTGATAACTTTCTCACATCCTCATCACCTTATCGTTTCTATTGTCCAACCAGAAAAACCTCGTTAGCCTGAACGAACACAAACGAGAACTCCTCTATTGATCCCGTACTTCACGGTGATATGAAAGTGTGAAAGTATATCTTTTACATTTCAAATGTCTATTGATCCAATCAAATATCTTCATAGTAAATTCGGAACTGTGAGTACGTGAATGGGCTTAACCGGCGAGTTCAGTTTGCTTGTGTACATACTAGCATAAACCGTTAATTTCATAATTTATGTAGTTCTTTTGACCTAGCAAGGTAATAACGAGAAGAAACTACAGAATCTTCCTCAACAAATGTAATGAGATGAAACATTGAAAGATATTCGATTCAACTTTTGGATGCAACCGCTCTGTTGTCTGCTTAGATTAAAATGATAGTTTAAAAAGTATTGATTTATTGATTATCAGAACGCTTGAACCTCTCAATGGTCCATGCTTCTAACAATTTGATTTCTCAGCAGGAAAATTAAAAGAAATAGCTGATTTCAGGTCTATCTATGGAGATTACACGTTATTCAACTTAAAGCTTATATATACAAAAACGGTTTTCCTTTTCTGTATCTAGTAACAACAGTAGGCGAAGTAGGATCCTTGACGACACACCGAATTATCTGGGCAGAAGTTGCTATCACATGTCTTTCCAAGATGAATCAACTGAAAAGCATGATCAGTACAATGTACAATGATAAATCTGTGAGCAACCTGAAATCCGTATTGTTCTGATTTGAACGCTTTTTTTCCGGGACCACAATCGGGCTTGTAATTGGCAGACACGGCGGCTGAAAAAAAGGAGAGGGATTGGTGATCGAATATTTGTATTACCTGTGATGGTATCGTTACAACACAGACCCACAACAAATCCCATTTGACAGGTTGAACCTTTTGGACAAGCGGAATCCAAAGATGTTTCCCCTCCGATTAAGATCATGTTTGTTTGGCAAGAAGCATCCCCATTAGGTCTGCGAACAGCTGGGCTGTTAGCGGAGCATGTTAAGTAATCGGCTTGAAGCAAATAATAAGTATATTTCATATGAAATGATAGCCTACCTGGTATGCATGTCTGAGAGCACTCTCCCTTAGTAGCAAAGCTGTTGTCATTTCCCCCACAACCATTATGTTTGAATGCTAAGCATGTCAAAGTTTCAGGATCCATGTGATACTTGAAAACAAATATGAGAACAAGATGAGAAGGACCACGAAATTAATTTGAACATTGAGATATCAGAAGTACTCGGTAAGTTGGTGGTATTTCAAAGATGATACTTACTCGGATTGTTGGTTTCTTGGCAGCACAAGAGGTACCTAAGTTCAGAGGTTGTCTGCATTTGGGGTTTGTTGGTTGCTGGCGATCTGGAAGCACTTCGAATTTAAAATTCTTTTCTTGAAATTTTTCTTCTTAGGCTGGCTATATGAATGAGTTGCTAATGAGTTAGTTGGACATACCTTCAGCTGCGAAAACAAGTACAGAAAGTAATAAAATAATGAAAGCCTTTTTCATTTCTGAACGAAAATGTATGAGACGTGGGTAACAGAGTTAGAACAATTGATGATTGTAAGAAATAATTTCCAGCAAATAATGAACGAAGCAACACACTTCGAAACGTAACAATCGTTAGGGATCCGAGAGGACGAGATATCAAAATAATCGGTGAAATGGGAAGCGAAAATGGATCGGTGTGTGCACAATCATGAGACGATCATCGATTTTTCATTGAAAAACATATATATTCCATAAATTTTGCAAGGAAGACATATGGCTAGCACATGTTATACGGAGAGAGGAAGAGAGATGAAAGCTTAAGTATCAAAAGTTGAGGATAGCATATTATAAGTCTCACACAAGAACTCTTAGCGATGATTCACTGGAGAACATCACACTGAAGCTTCATTAGAGACACTGTTTCGTAATCGCTTCTCACTTCCCAATATAAGGAGAAGGAGAAATGACAAAAACAATCAAAAAAGTACTAGGACATTTGGAAAAACTGAAAGTAGTTGTTGACAAACTTAAGTTCGATTTGATAAGATTTTTTTGTCAGATAACACGGCAAGAAGAGGAAACAATGACTTTGTAACTTTCTGCCCTGAAAATATGACGAAGTTACAAAGAGTGAGAGAGAGAGAGGGAGAGGGGAGACGGGAGTGTAAAAGGTTCTGGTTATGTTTCAATCAGCAATGGCTTTACAAAAACAGGGATGAACGAACGGTTGGAGACTATCAAAAGACAGCGCTGATGATGTTGGAATGAATCGATTCGAGAACAACGAGGACAATGACGACCTCAGTCAATCAAGAAGAATGACATCGATGAAGTCAAGGGCAATTCATTATGTCAAAGAAAGAAACTCGTTGACACGGTGATTATTTTTGTAAGCTTCATGGACTGCCACAAATGGTGAAGAGAATAAGGAAAACGCTATTCAGGTGAGTACACATATGCCTTCGAAGAAGACACCTCCATAACGGAAAACAAAACAAAAACGACCATGCTATGAGACAAATAGAGAGGAACGAAACATATGGAATACGAACTGAAAGACAAATGATTTTCGGAGGAGTAGACTTCGAATAGTAAACATGTTTGCCTCTCTTATAATCTGAAGGTTAGTAGTAGTAATCTTGAACGAGAGGAAGACGAGAAAACTCATAAAACTTGTCATCGATGAGAGTGAGAAGCTTGTTCTCAATCGAAATGAAGGTGTAAGAGAAGCAGAAGTTCACAGGAAATGGAGGACGGGCGAGAGAGTGAGAGTGTTGTATACCTATGTGCATAAACCGAAATAACACGACACAATTACTAAAAATGGGGAGTAATTCAAACTAAATATAACCTACAATGAAAGAAAGGTCATAAAACCACGTTATTCTTGATGATGTTGATTCCTTCCTTCCTGATGACGTTGGCATTCAAGAATGCCAACTATTATTGAAACCTCTTAACTCGCACATTCCTGAACGCGATTATCAGCGTCGTTATTTCTGAAATTTTTCTTCCTGTTACTGTTTGATGGCACGCCACAGTATGAAAAAACATTTGCTCAGTGGGTTCAGTCTGTTTTACTTCCGCAACTATTCCGCCCGTTCGTTGTACTCAAGAAATGCATATAAACGATGAGGAAAAGAAGTTTTTTAGTCATTCAAATACCTATAATGAATATTCCTGAATAGGTAAAATATAAAAAATACATTTTAAACATGTTCAGGGCAGCTGTTCAGTTCACAGAGCATGAAAAAAACAAAAAAAAGGTGTCAAGAGCAAGAACAAACAAACAAGAATCAAAGTAAACGGAAATAGATGCACGGATTGATCAGAAAAAGCATAATGGCCATAATGTGAGTTCCCGATTCAAAAAACGATGTGTTCTGGCTAAGTTGAAAGGGAGAAGGCTGTGGACGATCGGAGCCAAAGACAAAAATCAATAATATAATACAAATATAAAAAGATGAGAATTGGAAAGTTTTTGCTATAAACGGTATATTGAATGCACAACCAATGGGAGCAGCTGAGTTCATCAGCTGGTAGGGAAATACATGACAATGGTAGCAAAAAGGTTCCAAAGCTATCAAAATGAAGGAATGATTATGCCGAGCTTTGATACAGGATATTGTGCATTCAAACTATTAGAAAGGGAGTGGAGCAGGAGATCCGAGGAAGTTCTTGGTTGTAAACTCGATCGAGGTCAATCCGCTACATGCTCAGCGCTTTTCAAGAGTTATTCTAAGTCTTTCTAACTCTCTTCTGGTATTATCATGCGCTTGTCTTTCCTGGAATTAAGAGTATGGGAATAACATATCAGTTTGAAAACAGGATTCATCCAGAAAATGCATTGAAAACGAGCTTACTTGATGTAATTGCTTTCTTAGCTGTTGAATTAATAAGTCCATAGCCCGTTTCTCTTGTAACATGTGTTCCATATGAACCTGACATTTAATCATATCGCTGACTTCTGAATCATTCGTGGATTCTCGAGCAGATAAAGGAGCCTGTAACACATGTTTAGAAGTTTGAAATCAGTAAAAACATACTTTTTTCGCTTCTTCTGCTAATGGCGACCGCAAATGCTCATCTGATTGTGCTCGATTAAGTGACTTTGGTGTGTTCAACAACATGCACATTTGCTCATGTACAGATGTGCTCTGAGGTTTGCGGCTGGTAGGACATGCTTTGTGCAAAACGGAAGCTGATCTGAAATCCCTAATTTAGAGAATTAATCTCGTTCTATATCCTTCTCACCCTGAGCTGTTAGCTCTTCCTGTACCATCTGTTCGTCGAGTTCCAAATGTGAAAGTACGCTCATCGAACGAGCTGGCAGGACTGCTTGTTGATGAACTTGCGTAGTCTTGATTCCTCGTTCGGAACATCGATTGATACTTATCAATTCTGAAGCACCTATGTTTTTTGTTTATTTACTGATTAGAAACTCACAGTGTAGGCTGGCGAACAAACGCATCAGGTGTCAACATCTCGTCTATAGTCCCACGTACTGCAGGACAATGGGGGTCTTCACAACTGTAACAAATTGATAGGAATGCTGCTTCAAGTGTTCGACGCTTACCCTCGCCTTGGGGATCCATCCGATGCGGGTGATATCAGAAGTAGACGTAAATGTTCACTCTCTGATAACATTTGACTAATCCGATCTAATGTTAAGGTGCTAACAGAAAAACTTTCGATCTGATATAATATAATAAGTAAACGAGTAATACTAACAGCATACTTCAACTATCCTACTGCCTTGGCGAATACCGGCTTTCCAAGCTGTCTGATACATCTCCACATCAGTTACAACCCCTTCTTCCTGGACATGGAATCCCCACGTATCGTTTAGACGTGGTCGTCTCAAAATAACCTAAAAACGAAAAAGCAACTTAAAGTCAAATACTTCAACCACTTACTTCTTTCGCCTCATCTCCTTTGGTTACTGATTGGAGTCTGCATATCAACCCATTTTGTTCAACATCAGTACCAGTCTCTGTGCAGCATCGTAGTAACAGCATTTCTCCATGGTCGTAATAGATTTTCAGACTAAACAATATTAAAGATAAATTTTTTTTCCACTTTCTCAACCCATGCCCGAAGTCTGTGACTGCCCATCCAATCACTGAATGAGTTGGAGTTATAAATAAGACGGTTCCTGAGGGTCGCTCCAACAAAATCAAAGCATCTTGTGACAGTCCGAGGACGCAATTTATTCTCTGAGGAAGAAGACGACATAACAAAGAAAATGCCGAAAGTCTCACCTGATTAAGTGAATGATCATGAACATCAACTAACCACGATAAAGCACCCCTCATATTAGCTATATCAGGTTTTGGATTATGCCTTTCCCTTCTTTTGACACTCCCACCCAGAAACCGACCTAAAATTAGCATTTAATGATCTTGAAAGAGGAAAATATTTTTCTGTGACGTACTAGCTATTCGACTCGGTCCTTCATTCTGATGAGGGCCGACATAGTTTTCACATAAATCCCTTAATGCTTCTCGTCGAGTCCGCGCTGCCATTGTTGCGAACTTCTTAGAGCGATGAACTGCATTCTCTGCGTTAATAACTGCAAGAGGAAGCTTTCAAAGAGAAAAGAAAAAAAAATCACTTTTCGTAAGCAGCCAATCATGAAATTCAGCACATTTGCTGAATGTTGCACCTTGGGGTACCGGAGGCCCGAATGCTGGTACTTCTTTCGATCTTGAAACTGCCACACTGAAAACTTATACAGTTAAAGAATTTTAAGCAAAAAATGACTGACCTGTAAGTAGTATTATCAGTACACGCATTATGTACACGTACAATTATAAATACATGTTGGAAATGACTTCGAACAGTCATCGGGGAAAAAGGAAGAGCTCCAGGCTCTTGGAAAATGATTGTCACCATGTCGTTACCGATATGGCGCTTCCGGGGCAACTTCAAATGATGGATAAAGATAAAGAGAGAATCAGAAAGCTTACTTGTTGCTTATTACTCGGCGTGAATGGTAGAAGAGTAGACACATGAAACATGATTTCATGAGCTTGGTGTTCACAATAAATTGAATGAGTTCCAGTTGTATCACCACGAGTATCAAGTCCTCCCTGGAGAGAGAAAGTTTATAATTCCTCAAGAAAGCTATTTCATACCTTGTACTGGTCAAAACCTTTCAGCTTAACACGCGAACCGAGAAAATCTAGAAACTCGTCGAAGGCAGGAGATGAGCTCTCTGTGAATCAACATTAACAACGAATTGAGCTACAAACTACCATTATTATACATTTGTTCTTCTGTACTCTGATCAGCTTTGCATAGCATTACGCCAACTTTATAACGAGTATAAATTGGTTGTTCATCAATCTTCATTAGAATTTCCTCAACTCGTGATGATTGGATGGATGGACGCAGTATACTGAAGCTGATTTGAGGACAAACCTAAAAAGTTTAGCATTCTCATTGGAAGTTATAGAATATTCTTACCAGTTCTAATAATTCTCTCATGATTGGACGATTCCCACGATCACTAGAGTCAGACAGAGCCTCTTCTGGAACGGCAACTCGCATTGTTCGCGACTATAATACTTTTCATAAATTTTTTAATTGAAGATTATTGAATCACATCACTAATTCTAACAATCATCCGATAAATAGCTGATTGCTCCTTATTACGTTCACTTGTTTCGCGAACCATACTGATCGCTATTGGCCCCATTTCTTCATCGGAACCGAAATATTCAACATGAGCTGTAATCAAATGGAGAAGAGTGAGCATGGTTATTAAGAAAACATACTCCTGCCGGAAAAACAATGTCGATAATAATATGAACCTATATCTTGGGGTTCTATGACCGTTTTAGGCTGTCTAGCCGCGCATAGTCGCCCCCCTAGATACACATTGGATACATCTTCTAAAATTCCAGCCTCTGCTGCAGAATGCTGTAGAGAGAAAATAAAGATTCAATACCAAACAGGCATTCAAACCTCTCGCATCCATGTTTCACATTCGTGAGCTTCGACAGGTCCATCGCTAGTATAGCGACTAAGAGCTATCCGCCTAGTTGGCTCCCAACCTAGCTCATTCCTAAAAAAAATCTCGTTTGAGATTTGAGAAGGTAAAATGAAAAACCTGAATGCAGGACAACTAGCTAGTAGCTCATTGCATTTACCGTCCCCACAATCATCTTCGCATGGAGATTGTGCTTGGCTAGCACCTTAAGTACATGAAGATATTAATGAAATTAGTTTTTGTAACGAACCTGTAGGTTTGTCATCAAAACAGGTTGGATGAAGACCTAAAGACCAGCCTGCCGCTAAGGATAAAACATCATGAAAAGCCACCAATCTTGGATATGGTGGTCGCCACTCATTTCTGTAATAGAGACATTAATAACCGTCGAAACTTGATGAGGTGAATGATTCTAAATAGAGATTGTAAAGCTTACTGAGTGTCAGTGTAACCATGGCTATCTGGATCAGAATTCGTCGACGGGATTTCCGTCGTAACGACGGATGAGGACGTTGACGCAGCCGTCGTGGTACCTGACGTTGCACACGGTAACACGTCGGGCGTGTTTCCTGAATTCAAGAATAAAAAATTGTAGAAAAGTATAAAAATTAGAATATGGTTCTGGAACTCGACCGTTCCCTCATGGAACTGGTTTAGAAATGAAGCATCATGCATCATATGACTACGTCAAATTCGAATTTCACGTGAAATTTCCCACGTGTAATTTACGTGGACTATTTTCAATGAGGGACATAGCCGTACGATAATTTTTTTTAGATTTTTTCGTTTACAAACTTACATAAAACAATTTTTATTTTTAAAATTTTATAGGAAAACATCAGCATTGCTTTGGCTGGACAAAGTGAATATGAATTTGGAAAAATTCATTAAATTGAAATAACGAAGACCAAATAGCGTCATCATGTGTCTTACTTCTTCTATTGGAAATACATTAAGATTCAGAATAAATGGCTAACACAATGGAAGAAAATGACGAAAGCTTTATGAATCGATTTCACCTCAAAAGAAACGAAAAAAGTGGGCAGCGTGTGAGCGAATAAGGATGTTAAGAAGCAAGGCTAGATCGAACATAGCGAGATGGAGAGTGTAAGTAACCGGAGGGCGTAGTGTAGTTTGGAGGAAACAAACCAAACAGGAGCAAAAGAAGCTCAAGAAGAATGAGCCAAAAAAAAAAGAAAAGGGAGAAAAGGGGTAAAGCAGAGAAGAAGCTGTGTGAGAAATGAAGACAAGGAATGAGATTGGAAAGGAAAACAAGAAGAGAAAGTGAGAGGAGAGCAGAAAAATGCGAGAAAAAAAAGCATTTAGCTGTAGCAAAAACAAAAAACTGAGGGCAACAAGGCCGATGATACTCTTTGATATTGGTTACAACCCAACCATTCCGCAATCTTTGTCAACTGAATAGAATGGAAGGGAGCAGAAGAGCTCAGAATTTCAGACGATCTGTCTCGCGAATTTTCGCTTCATATTCATTTCTTTTCATGAGGTTTTTGAGAAAGAACGGAAAGGAGTCCATCATCTCCAAGGTGAATAAACGTGTTTTTCGAATTCTTAAAAACGAACCTCCTATGACAACAGCAATGACGGAACCGCGGCGGTTGAACATGTCAAGTGCACGTGCTGTGGCACTGCAACACGTGTCCCCTCCGGGCTCCATAAATAGTTACACGCCCATAGCCTTTCAAATCATCCACTGATGTATTGTATCATTTCCTGTAATCAAAAAAAATAGTAAAATCAAGAAATGGCACAGCCAGAAAGAGAATTAAGAGAGAAGAAACTGGAGTAGAAGCAGAAGAAGCTGTGTGCAAAATGTGGCGCAACGACGAAAAAGGACTTTAGCTTGAAAGAAGAAAAGAGAGAAAAGAAAATGAAAAACAAGAGAAATCAAGAGTCTTCAACGAGATTAGCAACATGGAAACTAATAAGATTAGCTGATATACGACACATAGTAGGAGACGACAGGAAGAAAGACGAGTTATAGCCACACAATCCACCAAGACGATATTGTAAGGTGGCAAGAGTCCAAAAGACTGAATTCATAATGCTCAAGTTGAAGATGACGAAGATAGATGGAACGAACTATGAGCTTATACTATTAATATATGGCTTATGAAGAACATACAACGTTTTTTTCTGACGACACGTCTCCGTTCATCAGAAATATACTTATATGGGAATAATCAATAAATGAATGTAGAACAGCCAAGCTAACATCATATGTTATTGGATAGTTGAATAGAAATGGAAATATGCAAAAACGGATTAAGCTTCGGCTTTTGACATCAACTCTTCAAAAGCTATGTGAGTTTGGGAAACGAGAGGGAAGCAAAAGAGAGAGAGAGAGATTGCCTGAAGGAATATTAGGAGACAAACATAGGCATCTTCTTATGTCCCCATCATTGATGGCACAAAGAATTTTTCAACTTCCAATGCACGAATGAAGTCATTAATCTAGCCAAATCACAGCTTCTTTTGGAACGACTTCTCCGTTTCATTCTTTCCAGTAAATAAGAGCAACTCAAAAACAAAACGAAGTTACGCCATTTCTCTGAAGCCTACAGGTGAAAGTCAGAGAGGCTTATCAAAGGGAATCGAGTTGGAGGAGACTAATAGAGTTGTAACTATGATCAAGAACCCAAGAAGGCTATTCTGATTACGTATGGGGGTATGAGTGAACACGAACACAAGAAGATGATTTAGGTCATCTGCCCATAATTAACAAGCTCTTCATCTTTGAAAGGAGAAGAGACTAGCTCTCATTGGCATATTTGAAAGGTACTCATATAGAGTTGGCCATTGATAGATTAAAATGGGCAGAAATATAATCCAATGTGAAGAAACTGAAACATCATAAACTCTTTTCTCTGGCGGAGTAGTGGGAGAAGAAAGAAAACATGGAAAGACGAATAAAACCTGATTGTTTCATAGAAAGAGATGGCGGGAGAGGAGAGGAAGGAAAATAGAGCCTGCTACATACGGCTCAAGAGTTCTTAGGTTTTCCCAAAAAAGGCAAGCAAGCGAAAAAAAAGTTTTCAAAAACAAAAAGGAATACCAAGGCTTGTATCTGAAGCTTATATGGGCAAGTACATAAATGGAAATAGCTGACTGAAGTCAAAAAGAGAGAGCATTAAGAATCAAATAATGACGGCAATCGAAACTTCATCCAGAGACATATACACACACACACACACACAGACACACACACGATTATGGAGAGAATATAGTTGTCTCTCATATTCTAAAATGTGTGAATATACATTTCATTTTTCGTCTCTAATTGAAAAACTGAATAGAAGAATGGTTTTTGTGAATCAAGGCAATAAAATATTGAGAGATAAATATAGTTTGGGAAATGTTCGAGAATAAAAAGGATCAAATTACCTTCAGCTCATTGTTCAGTAACGACACAAACTGCGAAAGGTGAAAAGAGTCTTTTAATAAGTGCCCCAGAGAAAGAGCGCAATCCATGCAACTTGACTTAGAGCTTACAAAAAATGAGAAGAACTTTATACGAGGCAGGCTTCTCCATCTTCTTTTGCTTTTCCTGGTCTCCTCCTTCTCCACCTCTCTCCCACTCTCTTTTCATCTGACGCTTTTGCATACGTTCTAGCGGAAATTGGAACGCAGAAGCAAAAAAGTTGAAAAACGTAAAATGTTTAAGTTTGAAGCATAAAGAAGAAAAAAACAGAAACGTCATATACATGTATGGTGATCAGGGACAGAACACGCCTGAGAGTACTAACAGAGTTAAAGAAAGTGAGAAGAACACAGTGCTAGAAGGGGGTGCTCAGATCAATATTAACCGAGTTTTACATTCAGAAAAAAAAGAAGTAGTGGAGAAGAGGATGGAAAAGAGAGCAACAAACTGAATGCTCTGGAAACGAGAACATAAGAACGAGCGAAGAGACTAACATACGAAGGGTTTGTCAGAAGGATATGAAACGGAAATCAACACAATACTTCTCTTTTTCACTGACTCTCTCCCACTCTACATGATATTCACACTCTCCCTCAGCTTCTATCATATTTTCTTTCTTTCGTCTCTTCCTCTTAGTCACTCATTTTCATACGAGTTCTTGGCCATCTTGTCAATTCTCATCTACATCGTCGTTCATTCATCGTCGTCGTTCTCGTACATCTTCTCCTTTTCGTTGTCGGCGTCTACATACCGTGCTTCTTCACTTGGAGATGTTCGGCAAACAGAATAAAAAAATTGATCCAACTTCTTTTATCTCATGTCTCATACATGTGATATGGGACAGCCTAGCTGTTCCATATTTTTGGGGCAGGTGGCCAAAAACTGATGACAAATTGTCTGAGAAGATGACACACGATAGACGAAAAGTGCAGCCACATCGGGAAGCTCACATAGCACGAAAGCATTTTTGAATGAAAAAACATATTCCCAACAATTTCAAGCTCCAACCGTTTTCTCTCTCTCATACACCAGTCTCTCATATTTTCGATGTCGTCTATTTTTCCATAGGACCATCACTATCTTGTTGTGGTCGTCCTTCTCCTAACGCTATCTTACTCGGTCATGATCTCTTGAGCTTTGGAGATTCTATGACTCTATAACGAATAGGTATAATAGGTGATCAGTGCACCAGTGAGTAGAATAAGACATGCATTATCCAAAACCCGAGAAGTGAGAGAACGCATACAATTCAAGACTGGAGAGACAACAAAGCAAAAAGAAAAGGGAGAGGGAGAATGCAGTAAAGGAGACAACCCGACATAAGAGAGGATTCGATGAGAGTTCTAAATAGACGACATCTTGGGGAGAAAGCAACATTGTTGAGCAGATAAATAAACATCATAATATTTGCTGAGAAGATCCTATCGAAGTACGAGAGTGGCAAGTGTCTCATGGTAAAAAAGAGCTTTTCCACTTAGCTTTCGAAATCCTCCCCTCTCTTTCTCTCTTAATTTTCTATTTCATTTCATTCTCCTTTCAATTCACTTATCTACATTGTACCTGAATCAGTCCATAGCTGTTTTGATTATATTTTGCAACACGGGGTAGAAATATAGAAACGTCATCAGCCATTCATGAAATCAGGAGGCTTTCCTCATAAAGTCGTTTTGGCAACTGAAGACGATAACTCATTTAAACCGGATGTTTTGTAGTCAGAAAGCTGATTGTTTGAAGCATAAATAATGCCAACAATTTGGACGTTTTTTTCTTGATCCAGGAGTTATTCGAGAAGATTTCCCGTTTTCAAAATTCATTTTAGCCATAGCCCACTTCTGAGAAGAGAAAACTTGTGGGTATGGGCATCTAGCGTGAGAATCTGGTCGCACTGCAACATGGCACGAATTCGCCCTCGCTTGTAAGAAATCAGATTCTCAGAAAACTGCTATTACAATTCGTTTGATACTTCGAAGAAGCGAAGTTCAAACTTTTATTTTGTTAGAGATTCTACAGAATACAACAAACTTGCATTCTGTTCGAGCAACTCTCGGAAAGTGGAAGAATCAAAAATACTGAGAAGGCAAGAATGAGGAGGGGGATAGAGGAAGGAGATCTGATCTTGAATTGAACCAGTGGAAACAACAAAATTCCATTCTACATACACATCTACTACCATATAAAGCAGGGTGGGAACGAGAATTCAGAAACCATCTGGTTCATCGATTAGTAACGACTCGAGGCCCCTGAGCAAGGGAACCTCTCTCCATTCTGCGCATTGCTTCCATTTTTGTTTTGAGGAAGAAAGGAGAAGCAGAAGAAAAAAAACAAAACGCAAAAATCCTGGTCTTGAAGAAACATCAGCAAGTCGTTTCGAAATTTATCGACAGAAACTTGCGAAAAATCGGTGGCATAAGAGGAAATAACAATTTGTGGAGCAAAAAGACAGCCTCGTGCCTGATGAGGCAAAGCAGACGACGACGACGATGTCGTCAGAAAAGCCAATGAAAAGAAAAGTAAAAAATGGAGAATCGAGATGAATGAGAGAGACAAAAAAACAAAGACTGCAGCACATAAATCGTAAAGGTGATGATGGAAAAAACACTAAAAACGTTTAAGGTTTAGTATTAACTAAAGCTAACGAGATACGGCTTTTGGGGAATGAAGCTGAAAGAGGTGCTCAATGCTGTTCGTAGCCTTTCAAAATGTCAGCTGACTTATCACAGAGAATAGACGAGCCGCTTGCTCTAAGTTTGAATCCACGACAATGAACCTCAGAATTTGAATTAGGCTTTTCATCCTGATTACAAATTGGGTAGGATATCGTGGATGTCGTCAAGCGGAAGAACAATGTTTCGTCTTCCGGATAACGAGCCACTCCATGATCCTATATTAGGCAGTCCTGATCTCGTGCTGAGACTAAAAGTACGTTGGAGAAAGGCAGTGACAACATAAGAGCTGCTTCATCGTTGGAGAAACTTAAAAATCGACAAATATCACGAGAACGCGATCTATTTATCAACGCATTGTTACAAAGGGCAGACGGATGCACGATAAAAATGACAAACACAAGGCTACGAAAAACTGCACGTGCGGGACGATGAGGTATTCACCGGAACTTGCCATGACGAGGTTGATTGCCTGAGGCAACCATCCGCTCGCAGAAGCTGGGCGTCGCGGTTATGCGGCACGCGCCTCAGTCCCTCATGAATCAAACTGCCCCAGAGTCGCTCAGTGCTCCGATGACAAGCTGCCAAGAATACTTATGCCAGAAGCAGAATTAAGAGAACTGCAGAGACGGAGAGCGTCATACTACCCGAAAACTGAGGAGTAGGAGGAGACGAGGAGCACGGCCCTCGGAGGCGCATACAGCAATGGAAGGGAAGCAGACAAGGCGATTGAGCAGCAGCCGCGGCAGCGGCAGATGAAGCCTCCCTGAGCCACCCACTCAGCTCAGGGGCCATGAGTTCCTGAGCTGTCTATTTTATCGGTGAGGTCCCAATTGTTAAAATATACTTTAAACACAGCCATTTTGCAAATGAGCAGAATCACAAAGCTTAATATCAATTGAAAAAACAGTAGTTGCTGAATAAAAAATATGAGTCGGGGAAAGAGGATTAGATGTAATTAGCATATGAAACCATTTTCTCAAGGGGATAAGACGTACGTGAAACGTCATTTCTAAAATGCGCTAGCGCAGAACGGTTGTTTCTCATTTCATAGAGAATCCAAACTGGGTGAGATTTTGGGAGTATGAACTTGGGGTATACTATAGGAAAAAAGATGAAAGGACTAATCACATGTTATAGCTACCAATTATTGCAAATCGAAAATAGAAAATCCATGAAGTAGTCAATTTTCTATTAAGAAATTGAATGTAGAAATGCCTAATGACTTACTTTGAAAATCTTTTGAAAGCAAAATATGTTATCCATTCTTCGTCTTCCTCTCAGAATTTGCTTGAAACCCGAATCGAACATTTTGCGGAGCAACATCCTCAAAATAAAAAAAATATTTTCTGGCAACACCTCATATCCGAATACATACAAATTGATAATTTTGAAATCTATGTAAACTCGTAATAATAACCAAATAAGCCTCATCATCTTTCCTCAAACGAAATTAAATACAAGTCTTATTTAATGAATCTATTCAAACCAGCATCCGTAAGCTGTTTACGCGCCAAACGCGCGTCATCTGCGTGGTCCTGCTCCAATTCAAACAGCGTTATTTCAAATTCATTTATATTTTTCATTAATATTCATAAATGGATGCATGTTGCGTTGTTAATATGAAACGAAAGTTTTTCATTTCAGCTTCAATAAGAAGCAATGGATTCCCTAGATATCGATTCACTGTGGATTAAAGTCAAATCTAGGCTTTTTGCCGAATCTAGGCTGAAGACCTTCTCTAATTGGCCTTATAAGCCTAGTGCTTCCGTGCTTTGCACACCAAGCAAGGTGAGTGTTTTTTTAAATTTTATTGTTTTATTCATTATGTTGTTTTGTATTCAGCTAGCTCTTGCTGGCTTTGTATCATCTGCAACATCAGAGGAGCCATCAAGCGCCATATGTGTTTTTTGCGATAGGGATTTGATTTTCGATCCAGAGGACGATCCATGGTATGTTCTGCTGAAGAGAAAATTATTGAAATGATATCATAGGAAGGAGCATGCTATTAGAGAACCCGAATGTCCACTAATCCGTTTAAATAATAAATCAGAAGTAGATTGGGAAGTGGAAGAAGCATTCACGCTTATAAAACATCTCGCTTTAAAAGAAATGGTAAGTGATTCCTCATACATAGCTTCTCATAATGTGAAATCTTTGAAGAGTTCTGAATTTGATACCATTGCTAAGACTATCGAAGAAGGATATAACGATATACTACTGATGAATGATAAAACTACCATGTAAAACACTACTCACTTGTTGTACAAATCCACGATCTCTTAACCCCCCACACCCACACACTTAAAAAATAAAAGTTTCGAAACTTTTCTTGTTCTCATATATATTGCTCTGTTTACACCAAGTTCGTACTTATTACTGAAATTTCAATCTGATAACTGAAATTCTGCTTTCATTATAGGCCGCGATGTCCATGAAGTTGACAGAGTCAGTTTATCATTCATAATAATCCTCTTATCACAAACCTTTCAGATTATTACCTACCCCTACAGCGGTCACAGATGAATACTCTCAAGTTAGAAGAGATCCCTGGTTCAGAGGAAGAGAGGATGCCGTTGGAATGGCTCTTGTAACTAAGGAACCACCACCTTACGGTCATCGTAGTGGTTTCAAACCTAAATCAACTGATGTAATTTATAACTTTCTTTTCTGTGTATTCATATCAATTATAGGATTTCGGAGATGGTGGTGCTTTCCCCGAAATTCATTTCGCCCAGTTTCCATTAGGTATGGGTATGGGAGAGAGGAAAGGTAAAAGCGATGGGCAGATCGCTCTTCAAACTGATGCCGAAGGAAGACTTCGCTTCGATGCCATCGCTAAATTGGGGCATGGAAAGGATAAGGTTGGAAACAGTGTTGAAGCATAATGTATGATTCAAATTCCAGATTGTTCATAGTAGACTAGCTGATATGCAAGCTAAAGTTTGGGATGAAGACGATGAAGATCTTCAGAGACCTGATGATGACTCAATTAAAGAAGTTACAGAGAAGACTAGATTAGCTTTGGGTAAAATTACAGATAGCAAGGTATATTCCATATTGGTTACTTCTTTTCATTTATATTCTTAAGGTTGAATCAAGTTTGCCTGTACGTCATGCTGAAAAAGTTGGTCCTGCTCAGTACATTCGTTATACCCCTAGTCAACAAGGAGGAGCTGGAGGTTTGCAATATCTTCTGTAAAAGTTCTTACTCGAGTAATTCAGAGGCTCAACAACGTATTATTCGTATGGTCGAAGAACAGAAGGATCCTATGGAGCCACCGAAATTCAAGTTTGTAGCTCTACCTTGATTCAATTAGGAACACTCGTTTTCAGAATTAATCAGAAGATTCCAAGAGCGCCACCTTCTCCTCCCCCACCTGTTATGCACAGTCCTCCTAGAAAGGTAACAACCAAAGATCAGAATGACTGGAAAATCCCTCCCTGTATTTCTAACTGGAAAAATCCTAAAGGTATGGTTGATAGAACTTCCCTGGTATTATCGTGAACTTTAGGTTTCACTGTTGCTCTTGATAAGAGACTTGCTGCTGATGGTCGTGGTCTTCAACAGGTTTGTGGGAGAGTTTTTACTTTTTTTATTCATGCTTTTAAAGACACATATTAATGAGAACTTTGCTAAATTATCTGAAGCTTTGTACATTGCCGATAGAAAGGCCCGTGAGTCTGTGGAGGCCAGAGCTCAACTGGAGAGAAGACTCGCACAACAAAAGAAGACTGAACAAGAGGAGAAAATGCGACAAATGGCCGCCCAAGCTCGTCAAGAGAGAGCAGGAATACGAAAGAAAGAGGAGGATGGAGATGAATTTGCTAAGCAGAGAGAAGAAATCAGGTTCAAACACCTCTTGTCTTTGTCCTCATTTGTAGTTGTGTTGCAGACGTGATCGTTTGGATGACATCCGAAAGGAAAGAAACATCGCTCGCAGTCGGCCAGACAAAGCCGATAAGTTACGAAGGTTCGTGTGCTTGAAGCATGAAAATCAGAATATTGTTGTGAATTCAGAGATAAAGAAAGAGATATTTCTGAGAAAATTGTGCTGGGATTACCAGATACCAAAGCTCGTGCTGGAGACACTCAATTTGATTCGAGATTGTTTGATCAAAGTAAAGGATTGGACAGCGGTGCTATGGATGACGAAACCTACAATCCATATGACAAGGCTTGGAGAGGTGATAATGTCCAACAACATGTATATCGTCCAAGTAAGTACTCTCTACTCTATGTATTATATATTATGGCTTGTAGGCAAGAATATTGACAAAGACGTGTATGGTGATGATCTCGATAAGATTATCAGTACACAACGGTTCGTTGCTGACAAAGGATTCTCTGGAGCTGATAGCGGAACGAGAGGTTCTGGTCCTGTGCAGGTACACTAACTTAATTGAGTCGAATTCATATACCTGATGTTTCCTTGTTTAGTTCGAGCGTGATCAAGATGTGTTCGGTCTCGGAGATCTCTTCCAGCAAGTTAAGGATAAGAAACGGACTGGTGATAAGGATGATCGTTCAGACAATAAGAAAAGCCGTCATTAACATCATTCCCTGTATGGTTGTTACGGTTACAAACCAATATTTTGTTAATCTCATAAAGTTTATTAATTGCGGAATCGTTGTCAACTATGCTTTTGTTATCTGTTCTTATCCAGGTCTTTGGTTAGAGCATTTTACTCGATTCTTAATGATCCATCCGGTCAATGAACTCTATGGTTATCTAAGACACACCTTAACGATAAATAAATGTGTTTGTATAATCTCTTGTCTTATATTTCTTCTCTGAATTCAACAAGAAGTATTCAACGAGAGCTTGAGCCCCACACACATACACATCTACTAGTAGAGTCCCTGCCAGGAGGCATAGATCCCCACTTCGGCTTGGATTCGATAGAACTGCTAGGTGCAACAGTTGTTTAAAATACTCCGAGCTGTACAAAAGCTATGGACTAACAGGTCTAATAATAGGTTGTTTTCAGTTTTATTGCTTAAGTACTTGAAATGAGTTATTGAGGTTTCTTCCAAGCATCCATATTAATGATTCCAATATCAAATGTGTCTCCGGGTAACTGAAAGCAATCACATGTTTTCGAATCGATATGCCGTCATCAATCAGAGTTTACCTTTCCTTTCACTATGGCCGGCTTGGCAGTGTTGAGTTTGATTGAGTCTCCCTAAATGGATAAAATTATAGGCATACTAATAGTTGAACACAATCTACTTTTCCATTACAATCCTTCTCAACAACAAGCACAGGAGTTATTTGGAGAATCCTACTAGTTCCTCCAACAAGTATAAACTGGCCGTCGTCATCTGTGCTGTTTGAGGCTAACACTTGATCTCGAAAGGGAGCTGAACGAATTTCATGATTACATCACAATACAGTGTTCATACATTTTCTTTTCTCGAGCAATTGGACCCCAACATTTTTGAGGGGGCGTTGCCCACATTGCAGTTTTCCTTTTAAGGCTAGTGACTGCTCTCGAAAGGCATTGGTGTTGTAGACTGTATGAGCAAAGTACAAAATTATGACAAACAAAAATTCTGTAAAAGATGTTTATGAAAGTGAAGAAAGCTAGTGAAGATGCTTACTAGCAAAGTTTTTCATTTTAGAATATGAGAAGTAAGACGCCGCGTTAAGAAAATTAGCTTAGAAGAGTCGTTTTCACAACCCTATGTTCTGTCACCTAGTCTCTGTCGTTGTAATGATCAATGTGTTTTCTTGTTTCATTCGTTTTTTCTTATCGATTGAGACAACAATGAATATCCATGTTTGGCAAATCCATTCTACGTAATGAGCTCATTTGAATGAGAAGTTCTGTTGTACTCATGGTCCTAGAACCAAATTACGAAGATTATGGAAGTCCCCAAATCCCTCCAGCACCACTTCTATTATCAATTACATTTTATTATTTACAGTTTTTTTCGAAATTTATCCCATTCAAATACAAAATATGAAAAAAGCCATTTAATTCATGATGTCTCGATCTTCCAACGGATATGATGTTTCCAGATTGATGATGCCCAAATCGTATTCCTTCTTTGGAGTACGGCCATCACTGATGTACGACTTGGGCAACAAGAACTTCACTCGTCTTTTTCCGAACTGAAAGAATGTGATGGAACAATGACTCACACGTCAGTTCACCTTGTTTTCATCATTGCAATTGTGATAGATTCGGATTTGAGGATCGATTGTCGTTAACTCAGATGTGAAACCAGACAAAACGAATTCTCCATTTGAATCAGTGTGAGTCGTATCCAGTAGATCATCTGGGTCGTCACCTATACAATCATAGTCATTCCATGTTGAGAACAGATAACACTCTACCTCTATCAGCTTCCCACAGCTTGACACGTACATTCGTTGATGGTGATGGTCCACATATGAGACGACCTCGAACTGCATAGGATTGGCTTCTCATAGATGTTAATAAGGGGAACATAGAGAACAGTAGAAGAAGTAATCGCAACATTTTTCGAACATTTGACAGCAATGAAACGTCTCTTTCCGCTTGTTTGTTCCTCATTCTTTCATAACAAACACATTCATTTCAATTGTTAGCAGAAGCTTGAAAGATATCAAATTAACTGTCATCATGTGCACGGGAGGCGGAACGGGATTACCGTTTGAAGCTACTTCCCTTTAAAGATATCTCTGTTGTGACAGATGATCGTAGAACAAACTGATTTTTCTGCTTTCTCCCTCTCTCGTTCTATTCAGTAAGTTGAATGGTCCTCGGGACTCTCACTCAAATGAAAAGAAGGTAATATACTACAGCAATGAACATGATTTCGTTGAACTTCATAGTAGGACGAAAGAGGTACGTGCAAATGTCAAACAGAGGTTTTCTTTCCTCGCTTCTCTGCTTTCATGTATGGGTGGGGTAGGAGGCAGGTACTTGATTCGATGCTGTCTCCATACTCTATTAAATTATTGGCGTATACGGTCAGAAATTTAACGAACGTGATTGATGTGAGTCCGCTTCGAATACCTCACAGCCGCATTTCCTTTTATGGCTTTTCGTCAATCTCAAAAAATATTTTATCTTTAACATTTCGTTCTTTTCTTTGCTCCAATTATCTCCGATATGTATGAAAGTGAATATAAAATTTGGTTCTTTTTCAGAGATGGTTACCTTCTATCAACTATCGAAGATCTTGCTGCTAACATCAGCTGCCTTCTCCTTTTTGGTGAATATTATATTTCTCTTCGTTTTTGTTCGACAGCCTAGCAAATTGTTTTCTTCTTATAAATTCGTTGTAGCTGCTTTTATTTTCCTCGACTTAATTTTCTCTTTGGTCTATACAGTAGCTCAACCAGTAAGTTAACATCCTTAGTCATCTTAGTACTCGGTGTTGAAGCTCTGCCAGACAATCGGGAACAGCTTCATTTGTATTTTGACAAGCGATGTTGGCACATCCACCAGCATTGCCAAGATTCTCGTAATTCTGATAATAGGAACATATGTTTGCCTCAATTTTCTGGTTCTCGGCTCCTTCTTCGGGCGCTACCTGATTATCTGCCGGTGAGAACTGTACACCTCAACACAAACATAGAAGTGGATTGCAGACCCTCGTTCTTCGGTTTACATTATTCCAATGCCAATGCAGCTTTTTCCATTTTATGTGCTTCAACGGGATTTTATACCACATACTTATATAACTCCTTATTAGGTCCGAGTGAATATTTAGAAGTAACTCATAGAGAAGCAGCCTACGACAATTACGAAGTAGAAGACTTACAGAGATCTCGCTATTTTGGTTTGAGCATGAACGTAGGTGTTTGTCAGGAACATGAATCACTCTGACCTTTCAGGCTCTGAAAAAGCAAAAACATTTGTTTTCCATTATATATACCTGCATAGTGATGAGCCTTATGTGTATAACCATAGTCTTCTTCTGTCTTCAAATCATGCGGACACTGAAGAAGACATTGATGCAAGAGAATCGACACATCCATGCAAAGATGTTCCGACTCCTAGTTTACCAGGTGAGGCTGCGTGAGCGGACAACACATACACGAAGTACAAACCTTGGCTGAATCCTAATCATTTAAGTGCCTTTTCATCGCCTTTTTTGTTTATGCTCCAATCATACTAATGTTCTTAATTATCTATTCCGATTACGATATGGGTGCTGAAGGATCGTTCGTCATGACAATCGGATTCGCATCCTTCCCAAGCTTCAATCCTCTCTTCTTCATGCTTTACATCAAAGATTATCGGGAATATATAAAACGTTTCCTATTATTCGGACGATCTAAACACATTTTGACAAGCGCTACCAGGCGTATAACAACTGTTTCTGGCTAAATAAATTGTAATTTAATTTTTCGTTTCGTCCGACTCACAAAATGACTCAAATACGCTAAGAACACGAGATATACGTCAGTGTTTATGGAAATATGATTTAATGACAATCCAATTCGTTGTTATTTGTCAAACGAGTTATCGTCGTCGTCGTACAAGGTGAGACCAAGATTCAACAAATGAAAAGCTGATTTATACGCCCAAAATTAAATTCTTTCTTATTTTATTTGCGTCAGGATCTGAATTGAATCAAATTCTTTATATGAAAAATAGAAAGAGTAATCAGAGTAGTTTTCATCTTCATCATTACAGCTGTTGCTCATTGTTTCTCCATTGACGCAATAATACAATAGGAGAACTGAGTTCTTTGAAAATCTCAACAAGAGGCTCTTCTCACATCTTTAACTTTGGAAACAGCTGTGTTTTCTATTTATAAGATAACAAGTGTAATTTCTGACAATCAATCTGTTCACCAGGCGTGAACTTCCCCGGCAGTGTTACGACTTTCATTCACAAGGATGAACATCCTTATGGCATCCTGTCTCCACTTCTCTTGTTCTTCGCAACTTCAGTATATCATTCTTGTTTTAGATGCGTCTTCTCATCCTCATCGCTCTGTTCGGCATGACTGTCGCTATGCGACAACAGGTAATCCAAAAAAGCATTGAAATAATATATTTAGAGCTATTGCTATTGCTATGCTAAAATTATAGCTAATCAGCATAAACTTTATGAGTTCCACGTGTTTGTTGCGAGACGCCATTTCATTTCAAATCTCCAGCACGCACAGACCGGTTGCATATAAATCACTCTTCAAAATAACAAGATCTAAACGATCCTGTCAAGAATCACTTCCTCAAATATGCTTTAAAGGCTGTCGGAATCAAAGGAAAGCTCATGTGCGGACCTCAACCTGCTTCTGGAGTTAAAGTTAAGCTCTGGGATGAAGATGATGGTAAGGCATTCTGTCTCGACCATTACCTAACCATGGCATGATTCAAGGGCCAGACCCAGACGATGTTTTGGATGAAGGCTACACTGCTGGAGATGGTAGCTTCCAACTTCAAGGATCCGAAAGAGAATTGACCAACATCGACCCCGTATTCAAAGTATATCACGATTGCGATGATGGTATTAAGGTAACTCATCTAGCTCCTTAAACAATTGAACCAAATGTTTGAAGCCCGGACAGCGCAAAGTCAAGTTCAGAATCCCAGACAAATACATCAGCGCTGGAGGTGTTCCTAAGAAGATCTTTGACATCGGAATTTTGAACTTGGAGACCATCTTCCCCAAGGAAGAGAGAGATCTTCTGTAAATGCTCTTATGCTTAGATAAGGCAATGAAAAGAAATTTATTATGATTACTATATGAACTCTTCAAAAAATAACAACAAAAATATCTAGAAGGCACAATTATATAGATCACGACAACATTATATGTGAACATGCGTAATCTTCGCTACAAGTGGTATTACCTTTTCTTTTCAAAATAAATATGTGAATGATTCAAATTATTAAGAAGTACCTTCAATATTGGAATGAGCAACTGTTCAAGTTAAAAGCAAAACTCATACTTAATGCACAACGAGAGAGAGAAAGTTAAGAATAAAATGTGAGAACTGAGGTCTGATTACCACGTACGAACAGAGTTGGAGGTAAGCCGCGAGTCATTATGTCGAGCCATGACATGTAAAGCGCTGCGCTAACAAGTCCCTTTCTAGGGACCGGCAAAGTCCTGAAATAAGATATTACCTTCAAATACAGTATTGTTAAACTTACATCACTATCAAATCGGCATTGCTCGAATGTTTCTTCAACAACTCAGCCGCTCTTAGCTGCCTCCAAGTCTTCTCTTTCTGGGCGTCCAATTCACTCTTCGATGTCATACCGTTCGGACACTCTCCATCAGGGGCAACCCAGGGAGCTATTAACTTCTCCCATCGTTCCATACTTTAGAATTTTACTATTTAATTTGTCAAAATTGTGTTCTTACGTGTCAGACATGGGTTTCTTGCCAATATCAGCTATGACGGAAACATCACTGAAGTCAATACGGAACTTTGATAGAAGTGCTGCCATTCCCCTCTGTTCTTGCTCCATTGTTCGAGAACTAGTAGATATAGTGAAAACTCGCAGTTTTGAACCCTGTTAATAAGACCAGTTGTCAAGAATCGAAATCGAGCCAAACCTCAAGATAACTCTTCGGAATAGTGAGCAAGTGAGGTATGAGTAAAGTGAGACCTCCATCATCATACAACCACCAAACATCAATGGTTCCCTGAATGTTGAACTATCATACGAGTCATCGTTGAAAAATACCAACATTTTTGACAACTTTTCTTTGGAATCGACAGATCGAAGCGAGAAGAGCCTTCTGTTCCATGGTTGGTCTTCGCGAGCTGGAATGACAACATGACTATAGTTAACTTGAGAGAAACGCAAGAGTTTTCACAAACACAGTACAACAGATAACATACTTTGTGTCCTGAGAAATTCGTTTGACTTTTTCAAAAAACCTTTAAAAGGGAAGGGAGTGTTCCACAGATACTTTTTAGAATAAATAAATAAAAACATACTTTCGTCGTCGAAGAGAGAAGGTGTGCTGCTTCTTGATGTCATCGCTGACATTAGGCTGTCCGGATTCCAGATCCTCACCCTCAGTTGGAACAGCTTCTTCTTCTTCTTCACCTTCATTCTCGTGGTTCTCCTAAGATACAAAATAGTTCGAACAGCCGATTATTAAAACTCACTTCATCTTCTTCGAATGGAAAGTTGTCAGTCAGAGAATTGGACGCTGAAAGAGAATGATAAGAAATGTATAAAAAAAGCTTGATGCGTGGGTATAATAACAAGTGCTTGGGGTGCGCAATACATTTTCACAACACGACAACTAAAGTACCCTCTATATAATGGTTACTCATACGAGCAAACTGTTCCATACTTCTAGCGCTATCTTTATGTTGTAATGCTAAATAATTCGAACAAAAGTTATTACCAATCCGTTGATAAATAATTCAAGAATATCTTACTCGAACTTCCTTCCGTCTCATTGATAGTTAGAATTTGGCCGTTCGATTTCTCATTGTTACCGTTCTTATCTTCTTCTTGTGCTCTGAGACAAAACAATGCTACTAAACATTAACATGCTCTCAAACTTACTTTTCCTCACACTTGTCTTCTACTCGGTTCACTTCAGGCAGTTTGAATCTACTAGACTCGCCGACATTCAACATTTTCATGGCTTCAGAGAAATCAAGACCCATGTCTCCATTCCTAAGAACACAAACTCCCAAACCATTGTCGAAAGCATCTCTGGAATTTCGGTTTAATGCAATGTACAGAAAGTGAATCTTACTGAATGGTTCCGAAATATTCTGTGAGTTCATGAAGTCTGTCTTCTGTTGGACCTCCCATATACCAGTTACATTTGAATCCGATGAAGACTATATTTGGTTTCAAACGACCCAGACCAACAACCTGGACAAATTGTTCTATAGTGTGATGTTTGTATGACATATATTACTGATAACAAGGATTGAGCTCCAGCTCTAAGACTGGCATTGGCTATGGATGTGTAGAATGATTTCACTTTTCTTTTCTTGAGCCATTCGTTGAGTTGTAAGTCTAGCTTCTTAATTACAGAAAAAACGCGGTCCGAAGGATGATACTTAAATGATGTCCATTATTAAGGTTCAACATTTCTTTCACCAACCGGAACCACGTATCCACAAACCATCAATGAGGTTCCTTTCGTGATGTTATAAACGAAATCGACGAGAGAAGGACGAGCAGCTGGGTTACCCGTTAAAACAAGAAATTGTGGCCTGAACAGTTATCATAAACATACATCTCTTTGCAAGCATACCTAAAGTTTTTGATATGTTCCTCAGTGTTAGCTAGTTTGATCATTCCGGCGAGAGCTGTCTTATAACTATGAGCTTGTGTCGAGGAACCCCAATTGACTTCTGTAAGAATGACATTAGAAACTATTTGCGTGATAGAAGTGTCTTACCAGGTTTCCTATGAAGTAAATACAAGAATATAGCGGCGAAGCAAAGGAATGTGATGAGTGCAGTAACCCAACTAATGACAAACATCACTATTATGCATAAGATAGATCCAAAGAGTGAGACCCACATATTGTAATACTTAAAGCTAGGACGGAAACCTGCAATCGTACTTTATTATGGGAAAAGTATTTTTCGTTACCAGGTGAATCAGCAAAAGACTGATCGAAACAGGCATAGTTAATAAGAGTGTAAGAGGCTAAGAAGAAGTTTGAAATGATTGGAGCTATAGCATTCAAATCTCCAATTCCGACCATAGAGAACGCGATAATGAACGACAAAATGTAAGCTCTTCTAGGTTCTTCATCCGCACCATACGACTTTGCAAAATAACCAATCTTAGGGAACAATCTGTCTTTGCAGACAGCCTTAAACAATGAAACTCAAATGAATTATATTTAGCTACGCATACCTGGAACACTTTGGGAGCGCTCACCAAACTAGCTAAAGCTGAACTGAGAGTGGCTGCGAAAATACCGGCGGTTATAAGAGGGCCCCAAGCTGATTCCATTTCAACAACCTGAATCAGGAGTAAGTACTAAAGGTATTTTCCGTAACAGTACTTGGAAATAATTCATTAAACCATAGCCGCAAGTATCGTTAGCAACACAGTCAGGTGGTAGGAAAGATGATCCATTCCACATTGGATAAGATAAACCATCTGAATCTCTGAAAACGGGTTTATAAGCATAAGATACGTGAGAGTTGAACTACCTGACGTTAGTACTTCCTGTCATAACAACAATGAAGAGATAAATAACAGTAGTACTCGCAATGGCTAGTAAAGTTCCAATAGGAATTGCTTTCTGGAAATATAACTTCTGTGATCAATGATGTGAGACCGGCCAACTTGAGGATCTGCCAAATCTCCACTAATGTTAGCGCCTGCCATGATTCCAGTAGCAGCAGGGAAGTACACAGAGAAAACGGAGAAGAAGTCTTCATTTCGGAAGCTCGGTAGAAAATTCTCTTTGAAGGTATCAACTGAAGTTGATTATGAGAAACAATAGAAAATAGTAATACTTACGGCTATAGCCAGTTGCTCCACGCCTCATCATTTCATCAGTTGGAGTGAAGAATGATCCTATCACGTAGTCGACGATAGACAAAAGTAAAATTACTAATAAGCCTAATTGCATCTTTGATTCAAAGGAGGTTCCAATAAAGACGATAGCAACAAGAAGGATACAAGAAGCTAAAAGTTTCGAAATTATTGTCAAATCCGTGAGGTTGTAAATAACCGAATCCTATGATACGAACATCCCATATGTCACCATCAATAATACTCATATCATTTTCTTTGAGCAAGTCCCTAAAAAACGAGCCTTGTACCAATCCATCATTCTCAAACTACCTGACTGTTTCAGCGAAACCAACCACATACATAGCAGCACCTACTGCATTTGCTACAGAAAAAATGAGGCCGATAGAACCACCGAACTCCGGTCCAAGAGACCTGGATATCTGAAAAACTCTATGTTAAACGAGGAAGTTTCGATAAGGAACACACCAGAAAGTATGCACCTCCACCTTTGACATCTCCATTAGTACATATGGCACATGTTGAAACAGCAGTTATGAAAGTTACAAATGATGCAAGTAAAACTATGGCGCAACCAAGTCCTTAACGATGGAATCATAAAAAAATCAAAAACACGAGACATACCAATTCCGGCTTGGCCAGCGACCCAACTAATACGTAAGTAAAGCATGACACCGAATATATTAAGAAGACATCGAACAAAAACACCTTCCACCCAACCGAATTTTGACCTAGCCTGCAACGCCAAGATAAGTTTTGCTCTTTGCGAAGGATAAAGCTACCTGTTGAGTAGGTGGGTTGAATTTTTCCACTTTGCTCCTCAGCTCAACAGATGAGTGTCCTTCAACTAACTCAGAATTATGGATCTGTTGAGAAGATGAAGTTAAGGAAAGCGAGCTCGCAATGATATACCTTGAAGTCTTCAAATGCCATGTCTTCTGTAGCATGTTTCTCTCCATGAATGAGTTGAGCCATAGATGGTCGAGAACTAGTAAACTCCACATCTACTGAGTTACGATAGAAGTCCATAATTGGTGGATGCTCAATTGTTTTCATATTTCTAAAAACACATCAATTCCAAGGTTTCAAATATTTATCTTATACCTCCAACTTTTCATGTTGAGTGTAGTGTGATTCTCTGACGACTCTCTCTTTCCTTCATTATCACCCACAGAGAAGTGTACCTAAATAAATTATGACCAAGTAGTTATCAATATGCTCTCAAAGACTCACCCCCTTAGACTTGATAAGTGTAGGTTTGGATCCAAGTTCATCTAATTCGTCATCATCACAATCAGGACTTTCACTTTTTTGATGGAGAGAAGGATTTGAACCAGTCTCATTTTCGCAAGTCACCTGAAAACAAATCACAGTAAAAGAGTTATATCAAGCATTTCAACCATAAATCTCCCAGTGGAACTGTAATTCCTCTTCATGTCTTCCTTACAATCTGGTACTTCGGTTCCAGACTCATCTTCTCCATCTGATCGAGGCAGCCGTGATACCTGGAACCGCGAATTCTTACGCGGCGGTACGGTATTCATTTTGTTTCAATCTAGTTCATTTAAATTATGAGCTTTCCCCGACTTCAAAAACGCAAGCAGCTCACAGTAACACTAAATGCGCAAAGAACACTGTAATTAGCATGCGAAATACGACAAAATCGATAATTATCGAAATTAGGAGAAAGTTCCGCATGGTAAGATGTAAATCGAGGACACGCCTTCATTTCATTTGTTCCCAGTTAGAGCACAAAAGGGCAATAGAAGTAAAAAAAGATTGAAAGGCATTTGGAACGATTACAAATCAATTGTCTACGAACTCTTTGGCAATAAGCTATTTGGCGACAAGTTAGACCATCACATATTAGAATAAACTATTTTAAACAAACCTGGAATCTGGTAGATGATGCTCTTGGAAGTTCACCAGCTGGTAGGAGTTTCTCTTTCTCTGATTCCTTATCCTCCATCATAGCATCGCCTGAAACTAAAAACTGCCAATAGTGTTAACTTAATCAGAATGCAGAAAAAAAGCCCAAGATATTGAGAGAAATCAGAATTATTTGAAGAGATACGATGATACACTCAAGCTGAGAAAAAAAACACCAAAGAACAATGTCATCAGTCTTGTCAACCTATCAATGTTTCAAAACACGTCATATTTACAAAGAACCGTGAGTAACAACAGTCGTGAAACATCAAATTTTCGTGAAAATGTAAAAATTGAAGATAAACATGACGAGTTGTTGCTTCCAAAACGTTCTTTAATAAATCTTATTATGACGTGATAGAGGGACTCTAAAAGCTTGTGAGAAATAGGCTGGTAAACGGATAGTTTCGTTGAAACATAAGAGTAGCTGAAGCTTGAAGTTTTCATAACTGAACACATAAAGCTTGATATTTGGCCTAAGTTTAATCATCCAAAAATCACGCAAAAGTCTATTTACATTTGGATGAGGTGATTGTTCTCGCAGTCAAATAACTACAACTTATGTCAATGTACTCAAAACAGAGTGATATCTCGAGCCAAACGAAGATCAGGAAATCAGAGAACTATTTGGAGATTGTTAACAAAGCACGAAAATCTTCAAATCAGAAAGCTTTTTCAAATTAAAAAAAACAGAATAGATTTCCGCGTGGAATAAATAAATGAGTCGTATGCTCAGATCTCTCTTTCAACATGAACCTTCAAATTGTTTCAATCGTTTCTCAACATATTAATTCACAGCTGCATTAACTGAGAACTTCAAAGTGTTGAAAACAAAACTCACAAAAAAAAGTGAAGAAAATATGATATGTGCTCTGAGATCGTGGGAACATTCGATTATTTCCACTTTAGTATAAGTTAGAAGAAAATTAATGAAAATAAGAAATGTTTTGGAGAAAGTAAAAAACTATTAGAATCGTTAAAGTTTCCGAACTTATTTCCTTGATTTGACAAAGAAATACACACGCTTAAGTTTCCGAACACAAAGGCGAACCGGAAGTCGGGGGGAAATGGAATGAGAGGTCCCCGGAGATGCCCATTTGGATGGCAACCGTGTAGTGTAAATTTGGTCAGTGGGATAAAAGCTGCACAAGACAAGAAATGGCTTATAAGACATAAATATATACATTATTACTATAATAAGGAAAAAAACGTCAAAGCAAACTCATTAAGACGACAGAGAGAATAAAGTTTCGATCGAATGTTTTGAAATTAATAATTTTTTAACAGCACTTTAAGAACACGGTGGCAATATTCCTGTTCACCAAGTATCTGCATATTTGTGCAGAAATTGATAAGAACTGGATATTTATGTCAACAAAGGTCAGTAAAGTGAATTTTTTGATCTCAACATGTTTAAAAAAATAAGTTAGTATATGATAGTAACAATGACGATTGTTTCAAAATATTCGCACTTCAAGACTGGCTGGTGGGACAAATATGTTCATGAGATATTGAGATATGCTCTTTCCATACATAACAGTCTTAAGCTACCACAGTTCTAAGGATTACGCATTATGTGCACTTTTCGAAAGTATCTATTTTGAATACCCACATTTGCCGCCTACTAGCCCACGCCTAGTTCTATTAATCAATTGATTAATATCCAGCTACTCGACCAGCTGATAACCACTGCAAGTCGGAAGAAAAAACACAAATAAGTCTTGAGAGCACTTTTTGTCAAAATCAAAGTAACAAAGAGCGGAAGCAGTTGACCTAATTCCTAACATAATTGCTTTCGCATGCTTAGACCGGGAAAAAAATGGGAGAGAATGCAAGCTGATTGTAGATGTAGCCAGCAGCACCGCCACGAATTTATATAGAAATGAGCTGTGCTATTTGACCGCCATAAAACAAAACTGTGATAGACCAGAACAGAACAAATAAAGGAAAACCGTGCACTACTTAATCGGGAGGATTGAATTGATCTGTTTATATAAGAGACATCATTTGAAGTTAATCTAGTCACAGGTTGACATGAAAGGTACGTGTACCAAAAAAGGATAAGTGGCGCCGCACATGAGCATTAACTGTTCATTGTTCTTTCAAAGCTCAAGTCTCAATAATCGCTTCTTAAAAGAAACACAATGACTTATTTGAGCAAAAAACGAATTATGTCCAAAACAACAACAAGATCAAAATAGAAATTGAGCCCTAATATGATTTACGTTCAATGGGGAAGTGATATCAAATAAAATAAACTCACAGCAAGAAGTTTAGTCATCACGCTTGGGCGCAACCGCCTTGAGCGTAAAAACAATTGCAAATGACCGTTGTGGTTACGACGATTGCGCACGTGAACCCACGCACGGATATGCTAATACGCCACGTATACAATGAGACGTTACGTGGGCGTTAATTTACAGAGAAATGAGTCAATGTTTCAACGTTTTGATCAAAATTCGAAAATTGATTGAAAAGAAGAGGGGCGACAATGAAATTTGAAATTCAATCCAGCTATCTCATAAGGAAATAGAAAGATTCTTTATTTTTCTCTAATGCCTTCTATTCCTGGCTCAGGAACAAACTATCACCCATACTGGAAGCTATGGAGTACTCGTTTCGCGCTCATTTTGAATATTCAAACGGGCTGTATGAGGTTTTTACGGATAAATGAGATATCACAACCAAAAAACGTTTGGGAACAACTTCATGGAATGCATGGGAAGGTGTGGGCGGGTCATTATGGATACTCAATCATATGCTTATTGGATGAACTAACTGATTTTCAAATTGCTTTTTGAAAGCAGAAAGCTGGAGAAAAAGGAACATTAAAAAGATCTTCGGATAAACAAGCAGATTGCCACAGACAATAGGATTCGAACTGCCATACGCTCACTTCTTGTCTGTAGATTTCTGAATCCTCGAGATAACAAGGGAAAACGTTGTAAAACTGAGAATTCAGTTTCGGGTTCTCGCAACTTGACTATCCAAACAACTTCTTTTTCTCCCAAAATATGAAAATCTCAGACATGCAAGGGAAAATAGAATCTTTCCTCGTATGACGCAATAGAGAGAATTGAAGTTCGGTAGAAGAGAAGTGAATACAAGTAGTAAAGTGCTGTTAAACTTTTGAGAAACAAAATCACTTTTTATATAAGAATCGATTGAAAAAACGATTAAGACGAGTCAAATAAGCTTAAATGCCAGCTGATTGCTGATTGTTCTCATTTTGCATGAGAGTGGAGGGAGAAATGTAAAATTGAACAAAAACTAAATTGATGAAGGAAGGGTGAAAAATATATCTGAAGAAATATTCATTAGGCAGAATGGAAATGAAGACATCTGAACAAGAAGGACACAGTGGCGTTGATGAAAAGACAAACATGCGTTGAGTGGACGTTTTGGTCTGCTCTATCGAATGGGTCAAAGTGTCCTTTCGCTCATCATCACTTTCAGCTTTCATTATGAAATGCTAGAAACCGACGAACACTTCGTTTTGTTTTCTTTTTTCATCCGAGAACATAGGTGATCGTTACACGAAAGATGAGAAGCGTAGAAAGCTCTTGACGAGAACAAAAAATACAACAATTTAATAATTAGAAACTAAAAATAAAATGAAAGAACAGAAGTCATTCTGTATTAGGATTGGAATGTGACGAGAACTGAAAAGCCTCAAGATAAACACAAGTTTGCTACAAACTTGAACAACATTTTCCGCCGAAATATACTTCTTCCACACACTTTCGAAACTAAGAAACAGTTTTTGTACAATTTGAACTTTCCAAAGTAACGCAGATGAACGGACAGAGCGTCACCAAGGGTCGTGAAGATGAAAACCACCAAAGCCCGCCAAAACATAACAAAACGAATAGAGACATTATGCCAGAGAATGAATCATAATATGTCTAGAAAACATCTCTTTATCTCAATGCCCCATTCTTTCTTTTTGAAAATGCTGAAGAAACCAGAACATATGGATAGTTGCGACGACACACAAATTTGGTTTCGGTACTGACTGCAACAACGCTGAGCGAGAATCCAATTTTCATTTTCGTCTCAGCTTCGCTCAGGAACGGTTGGCTCCAGTCCCACACTCTCCCTCACTCCCTACCTCTCCATTCTTTTCATTCGATTTGAGCATATTTAATGAAACAAAAATGAATTATTACTTTTTTCATATAATTTTAGTCCAAATTTAGAAAAATAAAGAAGTTTTCGACAAAATTTTGCCATGGCGGCAAGGTTACCTTCAGCGAACAGCTGATGTCCGTTGGCGAGCATTTAAAAAATAGGAAAAACAACATAAAGGAGTGGAAAATCGTTAGAATGAAGAATTATTGAAGTAAATGGTAATCAGTGTCGATTCTACATATTCATGAACACGCCATTAAAGGAATAAATTATGAACTTTTCAAACCATGCAGAAATGCAGTTGTTAATTTATAAAAGAACACTGCCCCGAGGATGACAGAAGATGTTGGTATGAGAGAGTGGAAAATTTAAAAAACAGAAAAATAGAGAGAAAAGAGAAATCAGGATGCATATAGAGGGAGGAATGAGAGAGGGAGAGAAAAATAGAAATTGAAGGAAAGAATAAAGAGAGACGATTCGGACGAAGATACCACAGCTTTGCCTCTTTCGCCCACCCCTGGTTCTGGCTTGGCCTGCTGTTGCATACTCTGCGTCTATCTCCCTTCATCCTAACCAGATATATACTCCAAGCTCAGCATAGCCAGAGAGCTATTCTGACTCTCGTTCAGAACCCCTATCGTTCGGAATTGCTTTTAGATAGGCTTCATGTCTGATACATAGTCTCAACGAACGATAAATAACAGATGTACTTGAACACAAAATTCATGAAATTTTATTGATTCGTAACAGGAAACTGTCATTGAAACTGTCTTTTATGAATAACAAAGTCGTCCAGCTTTCATTCAGGAAGTTCCAAAACTATTCAATTTTTGCAGCTGAAAGAATGACATTTCTTTTGCAACTCCCGACTGACTTCTAGCTGTCCCCATTTCCCCCATTCTTCCATGTAAATCTATGCTTCGAAGCAACATGGTCACACAAGGAAAGAAAAAAAGAGAGTTCAGATTACTGCTCTGAATGTTTGAAGTAGAAGGACCTTCTGAAGGCTATATCCTTTACTCTCTGAGAAAGTTATAGAACCTAGGGAACAAAATCAAAATAAATAGCACAGCAAGCACTTCCCAGATCCACACCCATTGTAAATAAAAGCTTTTGGAGCAGAAAAGGTTGAAATGAAATAAAATATAACGTTTGTTTTAACTAAAACAAGGGGGAGACTAAGAGAGAGACAACGGAATCAACAGAAAACTACTATACAGCCAATGATTTGAAGATAATTATGAAAATACGGAAACTGAGAACGACAAAACTTCGGGCTCCATGGTTACTTCTAAGATGGTTAATCGTATTGAAAGGTAGCGTGTAGAAGTCAAGTGACGTATTTGCCCAAAGACCAAACATTCAAGAAATGAAAAGCTCTCCACATATCCCATATCATTTTTACATGAAAATATATTTCATGAAAATTCAAAATTTAAAACAATCCTTGTAAGTAACTCAAGCTCAATTGAAGGCCGTTATTGAGTTTCAATAGCAGCGTCGGCCATACAAATCAAAGGATATTACTCATTCAAACAAAAAAGAGCCGGAAAATCGACATTTACATCAATTACCTAATTTCGTACGCATGATAACGGAACTTCGATGACATTTGTCACTTCGCTCGCAGTTTTGGCGGGAAAATTATGAGTTTGTTGCCAAATTGGCAAACAATAAATCATTAGAGACAGCCATAAATGCTAAATGCCGTAGAATAATGTTAACTTCTCAGCATTTAAGGTCGTTTTAATTTTGGAAGCTCTAATGCGCTTCTCAATGTCATTACTCTTTGTCTCGCTGCCATGTCCGTTGCCTGCTGCTGAACCAATGAAAAAATGATTGTCTCTCTGGCTCATTACCCTCATTCTACTTTCTTTTTATCGCTTGAACTTGACGATTCTCAACAAATCAAACAGTTGCAAGTATCTCAAACTTGTGAGTTACAATACGTTTTCCACTTTCTCCAATTCGCCGTTAGCATTGGATTTGTGCTTCGAATTCTCAATTAAATAACAAGAACTAAGCCATGAAAACGGCGTCATGAAAATAACAAGGCGATGATTAGCATAAAACGTTGCTCGTCACGTCACAAGTGTAAACAGTTCATTTCCTCCAACTCAGCAATGACGCGCGGTTGCATCTGCCTTGTTCTGTTCTCACATGATCCGATAGTTTCAGATCATCAATAGAAGTTTCAAATTGGTTTTCTATCCGTCCATAACAAGAGAATCAACGATGAAACTGTACGATTGTGAAAAACAAAAATAAAATTTACAAGCTCGACTCTTCTGGTAAACATTGTTTTTGGAATAAAATTCTACTTCAATAATCTAATTAGCTCATTCAACAATGACGATGAGAGAAGGAACTATCGAAGAAGCAATACTTCCTTCCAAGTTCAATTCCTGTCTGTGCACCTCGCGAACACTTGACATGAAAGTGGACCAAAAAATTCACGAGAAATACGTCAAACTACTGATACGCATACTGGCGTCCGTTTCATTTCTGCTGCAAAATGCTTCAACGTCCGCTTGTCTTCGTCAAAGCTATACTTATTCAGAATGTTATGTAGTAGTTGTTCAAATCGTCTAGTTTTTCAATCTGTTCGTAATGCTACAAATCTCCAAATCAAAAGAGGCGGCATATCATCCAAGCTGAAGAAGAAGAAGAATGCACAAGAGAGTAGGTTGGAAATGTAAGATTGTAACTATTCGTGTGAATTCAAGAAGAGCTACCATCAACATCGTCTGCAGAAAAAGTGTTCTTATTTAATAATGAAGAAGCCTCTCGTTTATGCCAAACATATCCTAATGAAATTGATAATCTTTCAAGGAAACTCAGGAACATAACTGAGAAGCGAATAGAGATGAGAGAAGAACACAAAGCTCTCGTAAGTTGGAAGACTAATATTCTGAAATTAATATATTCAGATGTTAGAAGTTTTCTTTACGCTCAAAAAAAGCTTGGAAAACAAAGAGAGAAGGCTATATCCGATAGGGAGTGTTGTAACAGGCTTAGGGGATGAAAACTCAGATTTGGATATGGTAAGAGAAGAACTTTTTCCTTTAGAAAAGTCTATACTTAAGGTTCTGATGCCCTTTTCCAAAGACAGCAGTTGTGATGAATTTCAAAAAAAATTTGAGAAAAACGAATTCTTCAGGGAGTAAGAGCAAATGTTAATTTCCTTATTTGACAATTGAGTTATTAGGAATTTCTTGAAGTCCGTTCGGAATGTCGTGGGTAAAACTCTAAGGCCGCAAAGATGCAGTTATTACTCTAAAGCTGCTGTAAGGGTTTCGATTGTTTTTGTGAATTTGTGCTTGTTCCAGGTACCTATAGTTCAATTCAACCTTGGAAGTCTTGTTGGAGACATTCAGTTCAATAATGCTGGAACGGTTCGATCTTCTTTGTATATAAAATCATGTGCGGAGGTAGGAGATGAAGCTCAGCCTTGTTGTAATGACTATATCTGCAGAACGATTACCGTGTGCAAATGTTAGTTGATTGGGTAAAAACTAACTTTAAGAAACATTCACTGCTTGGTAAACAACTCTTCAGACCTTATCATGTATATATGCTCGTTTTACATTTCTTGAATGTAAGTTCGATTGTTCGAAGTTAGAATCTGTCGATTCTTGTTCAGGCCATAGAAAGCAACTTAGTTCCCTTAACATCAGGTCATGTGCAGTTATCACCTACGTACTCTTGGATTTCGTCCGGAAGTTTAATAACTTCAGGGGTATGGTCTGTTTGATGAATTCCTTTTCAAATATGTTTTTAAGAAAAGTGTTAATGTCAAAAATCCTTCCGAAAAATCTAAGTTATCATGTGGTGAGTTGGTGGTCTTCATGATTGACTACTTTTCCCAAATAAACTTGGCGCAGGTAGCAATACACGTGGACGGAATGACATTGATGAAGAGGTATCACTTTGTTTTCGCTAACATAGTTTTATGATAGTGATTCCAGGCAAGAAAATGATGAGGATTCCGATTTCCTGGATATTATAGATCCTTACTTCACCACGGGTAGAAGATGTAAGGTATCTAATGGTTCCTTCTACATCAACGATCATTTCAAGTCGCTGAAAAAGCAATTAGAAGTAAAGAAATGGGATGAATTATGAGATTTGTCAAACTTCTTCTTCGCCCAATAAAATATTTCATTCGAACTTATTGTTTTCAAATATGATAGTAGTTATGAGTGTGTGATCTCTGTGATATCATCAGCTGAATCAGCCCTTACATTGTTAACTTTGGTCTCATTAAGACTCAATGTTGTCTAGGACTTTGAGTAGATCTACAAGGTTTTTACACTGTTCCACGTGTTGTTGTTCTGCTGAACAACCATCAACTAGTTTTGATTCGAGTAATTAACCAACAGTTCAAAATTTTCTTACATTTCTTGCTCTTCAGCATTGTCTTATGTGGATGGTGTCAAAACTCAGTATGGTTCTGAGTTAGAAATACTCAATGGGAAACTGGCTACAGCTCAAGAAGAGCGCAAAAAGCTTGTTATGGTTGTTTGCCTGTACTCCGTAAATCTAATCTCGTTTTGTTCTAGCCTGATAGCCGAGAGTTCTCTGCACTGATGTCGACATCCGTCATTTCGGAGAAGTGCAGTCTAGTCCCTGTTGGATCTACCGTGAACGGATTATATTGCGGGGGATCTGATTTAGACTTTGTAAATATATATTTAGTCAAGAAAATAGAATTCTTTCCTTTTTTAAGGTGTTCGTCCCACATGCTGCTCACAGGACTCTTTTCCTGCGAGCTTTTCATAAGAGTCTAGGATTCAGAAAGTGGAGAGTTTGAGAGGCCGCACCTTAAAATATTCTGTTTCAGTCAATTTCTCTTCAGTCTTCTGAAGTTACTGGAGAGAGAAGTGAAGCAGCTTGATGTAACAGTGACGAAAAGCACTATCGTATCGAAAGGACGGGTAGAAACTCCCTTTCATACTTAGAATATGAGTCATTGTAGGTGCCTTTGCTATCTGTGAATTTGAGCAACAGTATCAAATTGGACATTCAATTCTCAGATGAGAACTTCCATGCAATAAGAAACACTCACTTAATAAGGATGTACAGTAATGTAAAATACATGTGAGAGAAGAGAGCTATGACAGGAATTTCAGTGTGATGAACGGTTCATTCAGCTTTACATTTGGCTTCGCACACTAGCGTTGAAGTTCCAAATCTTGAATAGTAAAGTTGGTGCCTTAGCTTCTTATCATTTAGTTTTGTTAATTGTTCATTTTCTACAGAGTGAGAAGGTTGGTCTTTGATTTTGTTTTGTTTGTTTTTAAAATATATTTTCATAGTGTTTAACTCCATGGCCAGTATTGCCTGTTTTGGGTCTCACTCATCCTCAGGTGGTCGGCAAAAACATAGACATAGACCACATCATACATTTTTCGAAAAGTACAGATAATCCGATAGGTTTTTGGAAATGTTTGAGGTACTCTTTATAATTCAAAAATCTTCAGCGTGGAAATCCCATAACAAAATGACGATTTCGGAGCTAATTGTTCGGTTTGTTGATTACTATTCTTCATTCCGAGCCTCAGACTCTGCAATATACATAGATACGGGAAGGGTATTAAGACGGTATAGTCATGGGATTATCAATCTATCACTTATACCTACCTGTATAGGAAGCATGTGTCAGATCCGAATTGCTTACAACTCTTTGATCCGTACTCCAGACAAAGCGTTTGTCGATCACCTTTTGCATCTTTTGCATTCGTTGAAGCGATGCACTACGTGCGGAAGCATTTCAAGAAAGGTATCTGACTGAGTCTAAGCTTAAAACTAATCCAAGCCTCTTAGGAGACATGATAACATCCTTTCCCGAATATGCGGAGGAAGCACAATCTTTCCTATCTGAAACGAAATGGAAACACTGGCGAGTCCACATGGAGGAGATGAAGAAAATTCTGTGATAAAACTATGGAATAAAGAATTATTTGATATCACCTCTAGTTAACGTTAATTTTTTTTTCTCGGAATTAAAGATCATCATATGATGGCACGATACTGGTCATATCATGAAAGGTCTTAGAGTAGGGGATTCCGTCTATTTCCATCTTATATCTTATTAAACACTTTTTAAAGGTTTGTTTGCATTTCGTCTTTTCTTCAACATGAACGACATGTTTTCAAGATCTTTCATGTACAGTCCAATCTGTCACAATAGACCTTGCCATTCAAGCATATAAGGAATCTCGTGAAACTTTGGTGTCACACAGACAGCATGGTTATAGTACTTGTTATTTGAGCTGTGTCAACGAATCAGTGAAACGTTCACAAACCATCAAACAACTCGTGGGTCGTCAAATCGTTATGATTCCCGTGTGCTATTGGCATATTATCCACATCAATTTCCACGTCAAAACGACGTGAACACATCTCGGACAGTTCAGATGATGTCATTTCAACATAAACTCGCGCTGACAACCGGTTGCTTTGGATGGACTCGCCCCTTATTATGAATAAGATGTCCAGATTTCATTCTATTTTTAAATATCAGCTTTCTCGTATTAAATGATAATTGTGAATTTTTTTGAAATCTAAAATGATCTCTAGTCTGATCAGAAAATTCCGCTATTCTACCACCTTAACCCCTCCCACTTCACTATTCTTTCAGTCTAAAGTTCTCTTTATCTCTAAACGAAAGTATGTATCTAATAATTTCTTTTTATCTCTAAACTCTCTTCATCACTCTCTACTCTCTAAGTAACTCTTTTTTAACCTTGGTATACCCGTTTTACCAGTAACATATATAAATACCTATATATGAATGTATATATAGCTTGTTATTCCTTGCTATGTTTTCTGTGCCTCTAACCTAGTATGGGCATCTACTTTGGAACCTTTCCTTTTTATTTATTTTCTCTTTATTTCTCTTCTTCCTTGTGACTACAATCAGACACAGAACGTGCTTAATGATAATTGAGTTTCTTGACTTCTCTTCACACTCCATCAGTAAAAACCTGTTTTACCATGTCCTCTTTGCTTATTGGTTATTTTATCGGCTCCTCCTTCTGAGGCTCGCTAATAGGATAGACTTTGATAAAGAAAGACTATTAGATCGTTCTCTGTTGATAAGCAGTGGTAGTACAGCACTCGACAGCTTCTGTAGCGGACAACCATGACGACGACTGATCCTGCTGCACCTCCATGTTACTACAATAATAGTATATCGTAAGTATATTCCGACCGGCTGACTTACACGAACAAATATTCTCAAATCTCATCTTCATCACAATATTGATAAATGAGAGTCTCTCTAACAAGCTCAAAGCCAACCATAGAAAAAAAAAGCCAACCAAAGCTCATTTGCGTAGCGTATATCAGTTTCCATTGGAATCGTGAACAACGTGAACTACTTGGTACTCTTTTGAACAGCTATCTTATCATTTTCATGACAGCCAAATAATAATAATAATAACACGGAAAAATACATTCTTCCGGTTTTTTAACGCTTCATGCATTTCAGACAATCTTCAATCACTTCTGACCGATCTGATTCGAAGCGGAAAGACTCTCAATCTCAATCATCTGTTCTTGGACCCAAAATTAATGCTCATGGACTTGGATGGTTTGTGACCGGACTGTTCGTAGTCGGCGACTTAGCCGGTGGTGGTTTGGTTGCTCTTCCAACGGCCATGATTCAATCAGGTGAAACCTATACTTTTCCTTTCCGCGCCATAAACGGTCAAATGCCACACCCTAACGTGCAATCAGTGCTAATTCCTAGAAAACTGCCATGCTGATGAGTTTTGTCACTATTTTTGTGCATATTTGAGATTGTCCCGAATAGTCAGCATAAGCAGCCGCCCCATTAATCAACATCAATATGAAATTGATCATAAATTTGGAAAGTAAGGAGAGATATTAGAGCTTCAATTTCATTTCTTGAATGAGAGTGTGAGCATTGCCTGTTCAAACATCTTGCTTGTTAGCATTGTGCCTCAGGCGTTTGGCCAAGGATTGCTACGTCATGACAAGTGAAAAATTCAGTTATCAGTAGCTAGAGAACACGTGTAATCCAAAATTGATACGAAAGAATAGATGTCCATCCTCTCCTTGATTAATATACGACCTCTTATATCGCGTTTAACACAGAAAAACACAATAAGCATGCAACATGGGTGTCCAAGACGGCTGTTGATATGAGAACAAAGCATTGTCTCCAATTATATACTATAAATCATAAATTAGAATATCAAATTATCTTTTGCTCTAATCTCTAGCGTAGCGTCTGAACCAAAAGCGCAACACGCGGCTCTTTTTGGTTCCAAAATTCTTTTTTTTTGGTTTCCATTGTCTTTGTTCATCAAACAGTTCAATAATTATGATTGATACCAAGGAATCTGGCTGATAGACTCCTTGATGTCGGCTAAAGGTCGTTATAATTGGAGGAATGTGAACGCTTATATAGCAATCAAACAAGATTTTCAATTGACTATAAAATAATTTTAATTGTAAGGTGCCAATGAGCTTTGATAACATCATTCGTGTTTCTCCGGATTCGCAAACATTGAAAATCTATTTTTGTCAAAACACCACCCAATGCTTTGATAGCTCTTTCTTCTCAAAATTCTTTTCTGTCTATAACACAAAGAAGAATCGTTGCAAATAGGAAAATGAGAATTAGCTTTCTCGTTTGAAATCTATACGGTTTGGAATGTGTTAAGCCTTCCTTGTAAACACAACCGATCTGCGCGTCTTCGATAAGATTTGAATGAAACCACACACGTGTCCACGGAACAACGTTTCCTGATTTGCATACGTGAAAAATATACGTGATAGATAAGAATTGTCTTGAGATTGAACTAGTTTATAAAGAAAAAAAAAAACTAAAATTGAAAGAAACTAGCAGCTATTAGAAGAATTGCTACTCTAAGAGGGACTATATGAAATCTCAAGAGGATGATATGATGATCCTATAACCTATTAATTTCAGAATTCTGGGGTGGTCTTGTGATAACCGTTGTGATGACATTGGTTGTTACATACACCGCTTATGTACTTGGTAAATGTTGGAATATCTTACTTGATCATTGGCCAGAATATCATGAGCATTGTCGTAAACCTTATCCAGAAATTGGTTATCGAGCTATGGGACCGGTTGTACGGTTCGTTTTTAGTGCACAAGTTCTTGAATAGAATGTGTTTGAATATTTAAATGTCCTTATTTAATATCAAAAAAGAGATTTTGTGTGTGTGACAGAAGAACAATAATATAATAATAATGATGTGAAGAATTTAAAATATTTGATTTGAACGCATTAAGCTGTTTATGAATAGCAAATGAAAATATTTCAGATTGTTGGTATCAATTTGTATTGATGTTACTCAATTCGGAATTGCTGTTGTTTATCTTCTTCTCTCATCCAAGAATATCCATGACTTCACTAAGGTAAGCTATATCTCATCTGGATATCTATTCAATCATATATTCAATTGAAGGCTTTCTTCGGTGGAAGTATCAGTTTCTGTTATGTCATCATCATCTTGGCCATCTGCTTATTGCCCATTACCTTCTTGAAGTCTCCACAAGATTTCTGGTTTGTCTTATACCATTTACAAACAGTCTATCTCTCTCTCTCTCTCTCTCTCTCTCTCTCTCTCTCTCTCTCTCTCTCTTCTTCTTCTTTCCTATCCTTATCATTCAAAAGCCTTTTCCTTATTTTCTGAGAGCTTGTGACTAACGAAGGCGTATTTGGTCGATTAAGTTGATCTCGTTAAACGAAAATGCATTCAAATGAGAAAACCTTAAAGCTAAACTCATATTGATAAGGAAAGGTTTTAGTTTTCCTTTTTCTTTGGATTAAAATGATAAGAAAACTAAAAGAAACTCCAAAACATTCTCTTATAAGTTTGTATGAAATCTTATGCAATAGGGAGTAGCCGGAGATAAAAAAAAAGAAAAAAAATTTTTTCAGGTGGGCTGTTGTAATTGCTATGATAACCACCTCGTGTGCCGTAGTTCTCATTTGCATTGGAGCAGGAATTGACTACAGTCTTTGCGAATCCCATCGGTACACATTAAAGAGATCTCATCAAGACTTATGTTCTTGTTTATAGCCATATGCCTGATATCAAAGTAACAAACTTCTTCTTAGCCTTAGGTACCTTCCTCTTTGCCTATGGAGGTAAGCATATGAAATATTCCGAAAGATTTCATAAGATCATCTACTTGTTAAGGACATTCTGCTTTCCCTACCATTCAACACGACATGAGAAATCCCAGAGACTTCACTAAGTCCGTTATGCTCGCTTTCTCAAGTATGTTGTATGCGATGAAAAGGTTTCTAAGATTACTGTTTTAGTCATGGCCTTCATGTACGTACCCGTATGCATAATGGGTTATCTCGTATACGGCGACTCTCTTCGTGACTCCATTATCCCTTCAATTCAAGTATATATGACGGAGGATTTATTTCAAAAATTTAAAACTATTCAGAACAAAGGAATCCAACAAGCAATCAATGTTTTGATTACAATCCATTGTATCCTCACTCTGACTATCGTCTTCAATCCTTTGAACCAAGAAATTGAGGATCTCTTGCGCGTGCCTCAAAGTAAGAAACTTTCCTGATCAGCAATACTTCATGTTCTCCTTTCTTCTTAGATTTCGGATGGAAGAGAGTTGCTACTCGTACTACTATCATGGCTGCTGTTGTTTTCGTTGCGGAAAGTGTACCCACGTTCGGACCACTTCTCGACCTAGTCGGTAAGGAGTGACAAATATAGTATAAGCTTTAAGAATAATATGTTTAGGAGGAAGTACATTGACTTTAACTTCCGTCATTCTTCCATGTCTTTTCTATTTGTACTTATCAGCTGCTCGTACCAAAGAAACAGTTACTGGAATCAAAAACAGAGAGCCATGTTCCTTCTCTGAGTAAGCCTTTGTTGTTTTGACCTTTTCCTCAATTGAACTGTGTTATAGAGTTTTCAAGTATTCTCATCCTGTGACACTCGGGGTTTGCTGTGGAATTATTGGTGAGCAGATAGCTTCCTCAGTTCATTTTCTTAATAATTCTTTTCAGTTTTCGGATTATTAGGAGGTGGAGCTGCTACATACTCAGCCTTGAAAGAACTCAGTACAACTCAATTCTCTAAGCCTTGCTACGTTACCGCTTTCCAACATCACGACGTAAGCCATATTCAAGATTTAAACAGATTTCTGATTGACGAATGTTTCAGACATCTGCACAAGGAGATTCTCACACAAACTGTTGTGGTGTTTATCAGAACATCTCACATTCCGGAATTTCATGTTCAGCATATGATAGGTTTTATGCTTAAATTCAATTTCTATGAAATCATTTGAAACTTCTGCAATCATCCAATTGCCATATATGGTGAGGATAAGCTTTATAGAATATTATACAATTATATATGTATGATTATCCATACTTGTACAAAATTATATTTAATTCGGTGGAGCGTCATGAGCAGCTAGTTTTATGAATTAGCCAACACTATTGCTTTCAATAACAAAAGATATTTTCTGTGGCATGAAGCTGGAACGAGATCATTCTTTCAATATTTTAAGAAAATTCTTGTAAAATCCATAATGGTTTCAGCTTCATCCACCCTTTCTCTGGTCAGTATTGTCTCATTTGTATAAAAGAAACCAGTTCGTTTATTGTTAATTATGTGTTATTTCATATAAAATATGTCATTTATTTTTTTATTATTTTGACTGCCGCAAATAATACAGAAAATCCAATGTAGATCACGTATCTCACGTATTCAACGTATATCACGCAACCCAATAACGCATACGAATGAGATTGCCGTCACGTCAATGTTTTCATTCTTATCGATGATGACGCATAGAACGGTTGTATCCGATTCCACATATCACTTTTCATCACTTTTCCTTTAATATTATTCGGCAGGACACATTTTCATTTCAAGAATTGTTTATTAGAAAACATCGTCAAGTTTGTCATCTTTCTTTGTATGAACGAGATCAATCACCACTTAGCCTATTATTTCTTTTGATAATTATGCTAATTCCTGTTATATTAATAGCATACCATATAAGGCTTATTAAACAATTACATTAAGACTTCTAAGCTTCTGATTCGTCTTCTAGTTTTGTAACTTGGGTAACTTGAAAATCTGTTTTAACCCGGAATAGATTAGGTCCTGCAAAGAATGAGCTTGAGCAACATAACTCTCTGTACAGTACCTGAACTTGAGTTTCTTCTTAATTTGAATAAATTTGGTAAAGAACGTCTCCTCTCTCTCTTTATTATGGAATTTTGTGCTGAACCTCTGAAACAAGAAGGATGTTCAAATGGGTTACTTCAACTTCACTAACGGTACTAGGTTGCACTCCATTGCTGCCTTAGTCAGCATCGCCTGCCGATCTTGCAACTCCTTCATTCGTATTTCTTCTAGCTGAGGATTCTTTCTTTTTTGATGCCATTGATGAAGGATGAACATTGCAATTCCAACAACTGTGAGGAAAAGGATGGCTCCTGTGATTATATACATACGAGATTTATTCTAAGAATGAGATGAGTGATAGGAGAGAAGAGCATCCAACCTGATGAAGTGTTTTCTTACGAGTAACCTTCTGCTGCCCAACGAAATCAACAACACAGTGTGGATAAGGTAGGATGTGACGACCAACTTGATAACACTGATCACAGTGAACACCTTTGTATTTAGCTGGACATACACATGATCTCGAATGATTAGCGATGTCTGGAAAGAGTGTAAGAGGATTTAGCTCTGTGTGCATACGAAACCAGCATATCCATGATAGCAAACAGCCTTCTCACAATAATCTCCATGGAAATGACGCTGACAAATGCATCTGAAACAAGCATATGAACAGACAGATTCAAGGACATGATATGCAGACCTTCCGTTCCTTATTTGTCCAAAATCACAACGACTTGTGTACTGGCAGTAATCACCAAAGAAGCTTCCAACACATTGACAAGTATTGTTTACCCATTGACCACGTTGGTTACACTTCAAACACACAATCATAGGATAAATATAATAAAAATTATTTTTTTCATCCAAAAGTAAATTCTGAATGATTTATGAGAAGTGGCCGTAGAAACCAGTTTAAAGTTCTTTTTCACTTTTTTTTTTCAAAATCATCTGTTGTTCTGAAATATTTTGAAACTTCGTCATGAAGTCCTTTTCCGTTTTACAACTCTTCGAAAGTCAATGAGTACAAGTAGACAACAGAAACTCTTCCAAAAGTTCTTTGCCTTACTTTATCTGTTAAACGTAGATCACATAGTTCTCCTTGCCAACCATCATTACAAATACATGGCCGACTGAAGAATAAACTGTTTGGATCAAAGCGCGGACCGACTGATAAACCATGCACTGTAATGACAGAACATCAATTCAATCGAAAATAGAAAGTATGAATGTAAAGTACTCATTACCACAAGCAAAATCCTGACAAGTTGGTCCTGTGTGTGGATGTATACAATGACATTTCTGATTTGCAAAGATACCACCGTTACGACATGGAGAGTCTGGATTATCTTTCAACGTATTCTCGATAGCCGTTCGTTTGTAAAGAATTCTGTAAAACCGATAGTATGTACAGAGCTTTCCAATTGAATATCATGATGATAAAGGTTCTTCTACTCTGATCTGGAAAATTCCGGATTTTCGGGAAGTTGGATCGCATATGATCTGTGTCGACCAGAAGTAAACAGGAATGCGACCAGTCAAGACGTATCAAAAGGAACAAAATGATTTCAGAAGATTGAATTGGGAGAATAAAAATGATGGCAACTGGCTAACTTCTCAAGCAACTTCACATGAACTGAATGAGGACACAACAGCTTAAACTTCACTACATGAAGAGATGATTGGACAATGTCTACTGAGGAGAAAGAAATGCTGAAAAACGAACCGATTGACCTGAAGAGTAAATGATGCATCATGAGCATTGGTAAAGCATGTTGTTATGAGTAGGACTACAAGCACATAATCCATTATCCTTTGATTGTACACAAATTGCAGTTTTTATGAGAAATCAATACAGAATTGGCTGATAGGCGAAGATAGTCATCAGTCAGTCAGAAATAAGAAAGAAAAGGCGCAACTTTCTTTCTGACATTGGACCGAGATGGATGATGATGACTGTAGGTTGAACAAAGTCTCTGATCGAAATGATGATGTCAAAAGAGTTGATGGCGTTGACGGCTTCACACCAAACTTCTTTCTCCTTTTTTTATTCGATTCGATTGAAAGGAAGCTGATGATGAAAACAAATTGGTATCGAAGAACAGAACCATCCAACCTTCCATACTGTTTTTCAATTAGGGTGATCGTTAGTAAATGATAATAACAGAATAAGGAAAGTGACTGAAAGTGTAAGTGAGAGGAAAGGATTTGAACTTGAAGATGACTTGGCTTCTATCATTCACATGTTACGGTATCTCAATTTCCTCAACTGAAGGAAGTATCTTTGAATCGTTCTTCTCAGAGATTATTTTATCTCTTATTATTGGATAACATTGATATGGTAAGAACAAAGAATTATTCGGATGCTGATAACTTTCCCTTTATGCGATGCTAGTTGGATTGTATAAGGAAGACGGCTAGTATAGCAGTTAGCCATTATGATATCATCATCTGTCTCACTCATCATAAGCTGACTAGACAGTTGGATACTGACTGTCCAGTCATGATATCCTTAAGCCTTCTTTCATTTATGTGTTTTGCCTATCTCAACTGTTCACTTTCAAAGAACTTAGTGTGTTGATAAAGGTGATTGAAGATAAAAGATAATATTGACTACAAAAAGAGAAGATACTAAGTCAGTTTGCAGCTTCCCATTCCACGAAGATAACATGTCCAATTCTCATAGAGCAGTAGCCAATCTGATATTATATAATATTGTAATCAGTTTTATCTTTTTTTTTGTGATTGCCACTGATTACTATGCTATAGGGAGATTGTTGGATGACGTCTCAAGCCAAATAAAAAAAAAATTTTTTTTTCCCATTCAAGGGAGACACAATCCTTGTTATCTTTGTCTATCAATGAATAAATGAAATAATAATATATTTATTTGACTAGATTCTGTATGGAAAAAGCCTAAATAGAAATCTTAAAACATCTTTTGAGCTTATGGTGAAAGATGAAATCATCTACTCGGAGATATTTCTCACAACAAAAGCTTTTATACCCATTGGAAGGGAGACCATTCTCTCACAAAGAACGTTCCAATCACATGTACCCGACTGTATTTGCAATCACAGAGTTGAGAATTTTTTAAAATTATTTCGAGAAGTTGTCATCATCAGATCTCAGGAAAATCAACTATCCTCCAGTTTTCTATCGCCTAGAACAGTCTCATTGAAATTTCCATCTATGCTTTACTCATACCTTATACGATGGATATAACCCCGTTTTTCCTGTCCTACGATTTTGACCTTTGGAAAAGCCATCCCAATGATTACCAGCTATACCAACAACATCACCGGCTCTCAGTTCAAGTTCTTCTGTCCTCCTGGGGAAATAATCTTCTACGATGATTTGCTCGTGAGCTGAACGTTTGAACGATGAATAATGACAGTTAGTTCTTGATCTTACGATATTGACCGCCATAATAGTACAGATCATCTAAGGAGTGGAAAGAATCACCGGTGTCTCCTTTTCGGATTTGCATAAGCTCGAAACCCATCCGGCAAACCTTCAAGCAGATTATTTATTCAGAGAAATGAAAAAATCTCTCAATACCTGACTCGAAAAAGTGCAAACTAGATAATCACATTCACTCAACAGTTCAATGTCTGTTATGACTCCAAACAAGGAGCTATCCGTATATCTTTGGTTGACCTGAGCTGTGTTGGCTATGGAGATATCTCCGAACACTTCATATTTGGGATAACTAGAAGTGAAAGTTGTTTGATGACTATAGTTATTCCAACTTACTTCTTCTTAGCTTCAGGAAGAACTTGTGGATCATCACTGGCTATATACACTCGACGTTTGAGCTTTCTGCCCATTCGCCGTTCAGTCACTCGGAACCAAATATCAACCCATTCCATATACTCTTCGACTGAGTGGAAAGAAGCCTCAGTTCCAATCTTATCTGTTCTCCTCACTTGAATTCCAACAATCGGACCTTCAATTCGAACTTTAATTCCAGCTCACGATAAGCTTTCACTACCTTTGTCGAAACCAATTTGTTCCTTTGTGGCATTCAGAGCGGCGTTCATTTTTTCATTTCCTCTCATCAAATACCAAATAAACTGTAATATTATATGTTATATTCATTTTCAACTAGAAACTCACTTGGCTAACGAAGTACACGGGAGGATTCGAATGGAGCTTCAAGAGATCATCAGCTAACTGTCTAGGGAATGATAATGGTAAGAATGGTGGTCTGAAAACAACTGTTAGAATCAACATTCTTCAACTATTCCTTACTTATTGACCATGCCATCTACAATGCCTAAGCTTACAACCCTTGATTGAGCGTTCATTTCAAAGTTGCCTATAGGATCTTTCTGAAACCAATTTCTGATTGATGGAAGAGGCTAACTCTCTTACCCCAACGACGGTTTTGTAGTCACACTTGGTCACTGGTTGAAAGACTGCATTCCATCCTTTACGTGAATATCTGAAAGCACAATATGCAAATGAAGGGCACGTGTTCTCATAATTAGCATAACTGATTGCAACGTAAGAGGGAAATCTCATTTTCATTCAATCACAGCAAATGAACGGTTGTTATCAATCTTACCTCCATTTAACTCCGTTGTCTTTCAGAACCAACGTACGTCCAGTACCGAAAGCCGTCAAGAAACAATAAGCAACATGATGAAGCTGACAACCAAAGCCACATTCCTTATCCAACCCACAAATCAAAGCCCTGAAAGCATCAGAACCTCAGTTAAGATTTCAAATTGATCAAGCAACCTTGTTTGTGAGCAATCATCAGGATTTTGGATTCGTTCAATAGCGTTTTGAATCTTCTTGGTCATCTTTTGAAGTTCGTTAGTTCTCCAAACATCAGCATTATCGACAAACGAGAGATTTTGAGAAGAAGCCAATAGAGTAATTAACTGAAATCTTTCAAAATCTCTTTGAAGATTCCCTTCTAATCTGTCTACCTGATTCTCTGTGTGATTGCCAAACAGAGCAGCACTATCTGGATTTTTCTTGAATTGGCTATGCAAGAAGTAGAAAATCTTCAAAAGAAAAGTTAATCAAAGTTTGTTGTTGTGTGTTCTCTCACCTCCCAAACATTCCTTTCCACATGACGTCGTACGACTTCATGGTCTTTGGAAAAGAGTCCATCGTTTGACTTCGGTTTCTCACCAACATCATTAGATTTTCCATCTATTTGTAATTTTGAAAATAGCCTAAAACATTCAAAGTGAATGAATGCCAAAAGGGATGAAGCCTCCTTACAGTTCACGATCTTTGTTTGACCTCTGAACGTTCTCTAACCGTTCATTTTCAATGAGCAGTTTTAATTCAGAATTCTGCTTTCGAAGTTCTTGTAAGGATTCCAAGGCTTCAATTAATTTCTCAGAAAGTTTATCATCCGTTTCAACAGCTGAAAAGAAAGAAAAATTGAAAAGCTTCAAGAGAAGAGATGAGCTCTTTTTTTGAAAGGCATTTGAGAGGGCATAATGTCCATTGCAACTGCCTGGCAGTGGCCCTTGGAGGTTTATTTATTCAATTTGGCAGATGGCCAATTAGAGAGCGACAAAAAACAGATTGTCCAGTTATTTTATGTTTCAACAGAAAAAAAATAATGCGGAAGCTTACATCTGCCTTGAATTCCATACAATAGAGTATACAGATAGATGAGTATACATATCCATAAAGCTATAATGACACCCGCTGAAGTTTTCATGGACCACATATAGACGACGTGTCTCTTCCTATCCTCTCAATTGTGATTTTGGTTTTTGACTGATTTATCTTCTCCAAATCTAATTGTCGCCTATTGTGTATCTGCAACAACCTCATAAACATCATGATGAGAGACACTTACAAATCAGAATTATGAAAAATACAATGCAAATTCACTAATAGAGAAGGAGTTTCAGAATGTTTCGTCTTATCAAGCTTCATGATAACAGTATCAATCAATGGAGCACAAGGACACAAGGATGATGTAGCATATGAAAAGCAATGCCCTCGTTCAAACATTCTCTTTATGAACTTTCTTTGTTAACTCACCTACACACTTTCTCTCTCTCTATCTTTATCTCTTTCTCTCTTTATGCTTCTAGCACTCTAGTACTATAGCATGTGTTTTGCTCATTCTCTCTCTCTCTCTCTCAGTACTATGATGAGAGACTCCTGTCTCATTACTCTCTCACATCTATCTCTCTCTTTCAAACCATGCAAAAGGAGAGAATGAAAGAGAGAGAGAGAGAGAGATTATACTTTCACACATCAACAGCTCTTGTTCATGAACATGTAGAAAAACCAAAAATGCTCTACAGAATTGTAAGGCGAATAACGATGAACGAAAATCAAATTGTATGATATGTGAAGTGGGAGAGAGAATCAATGCCATTCCCCCAGGCTATTATTATTATTTTCTCGTCAATAAAAGCTATTTTTGATATATTTTATTCATTTGAGCACATATTTGAGATGAGCTAGAATAGTATAATCCATTTTCTAACTATATGATTGAAGAAAAGAGAAATGAATTTGAAAAAAAAAGTGAAAAAGCTGCAAAGGTCCGAACAGCTTCGATGGATGAGATCATTGGAATCATAGCACGGCCAGACGGCCCGAATTATGAAAATCGGTGTAAACTCAGAGGGCAGAGCAACAAAAGTTGTTAAAATAATATGAGAAAAATAGAAAAAAAGTGAATTTTAATTAGAAACGAAGGTCATTTGGATGTTTTGAAAGCTTGTTAAGGTCATATGAGGAGAGGTTAGAGTGAGAGAGAGAGAGAGCAGGAGGATTTGAATCAAAGCTCCTCTGTTTATATGTAGAGTGAGGTCATTAATTATAAGCTTTTCAATATAAGTTTATAAACTATAGTATAAAAAATGTGAAAAATAAGATGAAGAATGTCATTTTTCGTTTGTTAACATAGGGATATAGAGAGAGAGAGAGGGAAAGAGAGAGGGAGAGATAGAGGGAAAGTCACAGAATGGATGAAGGCAGATTAGGAAAAGGATGAGTGACACTTTGATCATTCATTTCCTTTTGAACTGCTCGTATTCGTCTTCTGACATGAAATGAATAAGTTTCTTTGTTTTTTCTTTTCTTCTTTTCCCATCAAGATTTCACTTCAAAACGTATCATTCTTCATTCAATCTCTCTGTTTTCATTTGCTTCAAAAAGGAATTTTTGTTTTTTTTTTCAGTCAACTGTGAGTCTTCATTATCTCTTTGGCTTTCAAGAGGTAGAAGGAGAGAGAGAGAGAGAGAGAGAGAGGGAAACACAGAGAGAGAGAGAAAGCTTGGAAGCTTCTGGCTCGTGTTTTTGGTCACATAATATGCTTTTAAAATATGAAATTAACAAGAAAAACTGCAGCAAAGTAGGAAAAAGAAATGAAATGAAGTGAGGAAATGAAGGAATGGAATGATGAGATACCGAGAATGAATGGGATGAACGAGAATGGTAGAGAGATAGAGAGAGAGAGAGAGAGAGGGAGAGCGAAGTGGAATGCAACCGTTCGAAGCTGGGAAGATACATACAATGATTGGTGTTGGCTTCATTGGAAGGTTTACGTGAGATCTTCACGTAACTATGGGGCGGGGATTGAAAATGGAAATTAGCATACAAACAGTAATGAAAAGATATAAGCTTAAGCTTTTAGTAGAAACGGATGAAGCTGAATGGAATTGATTAAATTAGGAGAAGAGAAGGAGAAATGCATTCGTTAAAAGATACAAAACGAACAGCATATTGAGTAAGCATAAAGAGAGAAAAGTAATAATGATGAAGAACGATTGTGTGAGCAGACGAGAAAACACATTCCAAACGTATGAAAGAGACTTTCATTTGCTTCATCAAGCTTACATCCTACAACTTGTAAAGCTTGAAAGAACAGAGAGAGACTAGCGAAGAGGACTTAGAAAAATCTTTTTTGGAATTCAAATGAATAGACGTCTTGCAAGTCTATTTAATACTTTAATTTCCTTAATTCAAACCATATTCTCAGACTCTAATATACACTGAAAGCCAGAGAGAAAGAAAAAGCTGGAGGAAATCGATAGAAGGAACCGCTCACTCTCGCACTCCCTCCCTAGCTCATTCATTCTCTATCAATTGGTCGTAAACGTAATAGAAATCATTAATACTACTAGTTTTAAGCTTCAAACTAAGAATGTAAAAGAAGCATTGTTGAACTTGTGAAAAAAAAAGAGAAAAAGAAAGATATCTCTTTTAATATTCTGAAATGACAAGTTTCTTTAGTTCATTCTTCTCCACCCTCTTTTCCTTTCGTCTTCTCTTTCTCTCTCTCTCTCTCTATCTCTCTCTATCTCTCTTTTACTCTCTAACATTCTTTATTATATGATCTCTTCATATTTCTTACTCTCTACTAGTTTTCTCGAAAAAATAATGACTTGTGAATAACGTGAATGGCCTGCGTGACCCTTTGACCGGAAGAAGCAGATGCTGAGGAAACGAGCATTTCCTTTTAAAAATCAAAAATATGGAGAAAGCTAGGAGAATGACGATTGCATGATGCACACGGAAACTGATTGAAAATGAAGTTTGTTTAGCTTTACTGACTAATGTAATGAACTCATTCTAATCAATATAATATTGGTTATTGTCCTTTTTTGGTGATGAACAGTAGAAAGAGAGAGAGAGAGAGTGTGGGTGGGTGGGGTGAGAAAGGAGTTGCAGGAAGAGCAGATAGCATGAAACGGCCATTCACTAACTGATTGATTTTCAAAACCAAATATAGATGAAACAAGAGAATGTTCCGAAAGTTGTAACATTCGTGATGAAGACATTTGTAAAACAGATGGAGGGAGAATTTTAAACGAAAATGATGAGATGAGATGAGAAGCTTCTTCTCTCATTTATCACAAAATCTTACTTTTCGCCTAATGTATCTGAGATTTACATACAAATCGAACAACTGTTTTGAACATTTTTCAGCTTTTTTTCAAAATGAGCGACACTCTGAGAGAGAGAGAGAGGGAGGGAGAGAGTGAGAGAGAGAGAGATGAAAGTTTGTAGGAATTGGAGGATGCCATAGAGAGAGGAAGAGAAAGAGAATCACACACATACACACAGAGACACATAGATTGTATCTGTTGTGTATGTGTGTGTGTGTCAGGTCAAAATAATCTGATTTATAAGTTTTCAGATGAAACTTTAAAAAATAAATTTGGGCTTCTCGTCTCCATTTCTTCCAATCACACTCTTCCTTCCACCCACATCTTCCAAAACGATATAGAAACCTTATTATTCTTTTAAGCAATTATCAATCTCGATAGATAACTACAACAAGCCTAATCTCATCTAATTAAGATTCCTTTTTTCCTTTTTTCGATTTTTGATTACAAAAACGATTTTGGTAATATTGGTTGCCATATTGAAACATGAGATGAGATACCCTTTCTCTCTCTCTCTCTCTCTTCTCTCTTATTGAATAATATAACAGCTGAGAGATATACAGAGGGAGAGAAAAGAGGAAGAAAGGCAAATGGAATGGCATAGAACAGCCTGAGGCAATATATGAAAATGATTAATGATCTAGTTAGTTTAACTATTCCAAGAGGGATCAAAGTTATGAGCTTAAGAGGGAGATGAGATTAAAGAAGAATAGAGAAAGCATGTATAGAGAGAGAGAGAGCGAGAGTAACACAGTGACATAGAGAGTGATAGAGAGAGAATGAAACAATATGAAAAGAAGAATAAGAAGAAGAACAACCGTCTCTGTGCATCCGAAATCAAAAAATGACATTTTTGATGAACGCAAGACGCAGAGCACAATGACCAATATGCAAATTTGGTAAAGATTGTGAAGAAAATTAGCATAAGAAGAGATAATTATGAGTAAATTGGATTAAAGTTAGAAGCTTTCAATAGAAAATCAATGAAGCTCTTGAGAACCATATGAATTTGAAATAACAAAAAAAAAATAAAAGTGAAACAACTGATGGGTTAAGTGAGTTGAAATGGATTATGAGGGTTCATCTTCTGATGCATAGACAGAACTGGTTTCAGAGGGAGGGGTATCAGAAGAGCTTTTGTCTGCATATTCCTTTTTTGGTCTCCCAAAAATCAATCAAAACAGAAAAATCATACGGAAATGCAGTCGAAAGCATACCCATTTGCAACAGAACGTTTGGGGTCGATGATGGTCGAGAAGCCATCTGCCCCGATTCTTGCCTATCTCGTCAACTGCTTCCATCTCAAGCACGTAGGCATCATTATTATTATTCATTCATTCATTCGTTTACCATAAAAGCTATGTGTCAGCTGTTTCTCTCAGATTGACATGCGATAATCCGCTTTGTGCCTTTTCATTTTTTATTTTCTAATTAAGAAATCGTACTTTGAACATGCAACACCTTGATCTGTTGGTTGTTTGTATGTGTGGGAGCACAGAGCATTGATCTCTGCTCAGTTTGTAGGTTAATCTATAGAACAGACTAGAAACATATGAAACGGAGAAAGAGTTAGTCATGAGGTGTTGATACCTAAAGGTTGGCAGTAACAATCTGACATACATACATCTGCAGATGGCTCGACTGCGTGCATGCGCTAACTGATCCCACACTCACATAGGAGAATGTACTTTGACTTCACAATGATCTCATCTGTCATTTACTATGTATGGACTGACTGGTATGCTTCTACAGTTGAAAGTGAAACGAGATGGATCTGGATGAATTGATTTGTGTGTGAGTAGTTATGAATGGATGATTTAAGCTAATTCCGTAAATATCAAAAGTTGGAAGGATAATTGGCGTCTCTTCGTCTCTCATCCATGTAATTGCATTTCCTCTATGTGACCTCAAACTGTATTTTATTTAATATTTATTAGTTTTTTGTGGAAAAATGTTTTTTTAAAATAAAAGAAATATTTGGAATCGTGTTAACTATGCGATGTGGTTAGCTATATCAAATGCTATGTGTGATTATAAGACAAGAAGAGCTGAGAAGGAGAGCAATGATATTAACATAGATCTAGAAGAGAGTGCGAGAGAGAGAGAGAGTGAGAGATGTTTTTGTTTTTCTAGTATTTCATGTGAAGAAGTTAAAGAAGAAATTTGAAAATGAATAAGCTGGAGACGATGGAGAGGATTGAAGTAGCTGGAGACGAGTTGCAGAGTTCATAACGGCATAGGTACTGCTGACCATTTCCTCCCATATTTGCACAGTTTTGCTGAAAAAGATTGAATTGAGAGGGAAAAGTGAATGAGAGAGAGAGAAAGAGAGTGAGAGAGAAAGAGAAATCACCTGTAAGACCGAATATGATATAGGAGGATTGGCATTATCGTTACATCCTTTGAATATTTGCTCAGCTGAAAAGCAGTTAAAATAATGAAACATGAAAAGTTTGTTGATTTACATTTTCCAACACGACAGACGAACTTCATGCATTCGAATATGTGTGCAGGACAATCCTGTGTTGATATTCCCTGGATAGTGTTCATGACTTGACATCTCAAAGCATCTGATAAGAAAACTGTTAGGAGACAATATGAAAGATGGGACTTTACCAGAATTTTTTGGAAAAACAAAGAAAACCAGAAGAAGAGCTAAAGCAGGTCGAGACATGACGGATTCTCGTACTATTGTGAGCAGAAATGTTTAAAGCAGAAGCTTTGAAATACTTTTTTCCGGTCGTCCGTCGCAACGAGAAAGGAGGAGAAAACGTATTTCGAGGATTGTGAAGCAACCAGGTGATGAAATGATCTTATGAATAGCCTTGTGGGGTGGAGGCTTTTGGTCAAAGACATAAATGACAAAAAGCCTTCTCTTTTACATTTAAAAGCAAATATGAGTAAGAATGAATGAATGGGATGAGCAGTCGAAATCTTCAATATCATCAAAGGTCATATATGGTCAACGAGTTGTCAAATGCTTGTTTTCCTTCTTATTTTTTATGTAAAGTAACCATGGAGAAGCTGCGCCAAAAAAACTGTTTAACGAGATAGGGATTATTAGCTATTGTAGAGAATGTCATAGAGAGTTAGAGAGGGAGAGTATAGAGAGAGAGAGAGAGAGAGAGAGAGAGAGAGAGAGAGAGAGAGAGAGGAATAGATGGTCTGGGTGGAGGCTGTGCTATGA